GGACATCCAGGCGGCCGTGACGAGGATACTCAAGGGCATCCCAGTCGAAGCGTTCCAGAAATGTTATGTAGCGTGGAAAATGCGCTGGAATCGTCGAATAGCTGCCCAAGGGGACTACTTTGTATAATTTATTTTTTATATATTTTTGCCGAGCTCCTTCATCAAACTGTGCTGAGCGTCTTGGAGTAACAAATGGAAGGACCTACACTTTATTCTAAGCAGCCTCTGAACGGCCGATGAATTCTTATTAGGGGCTTTTATTTCATTTCAGAAAAACACACGGAGAGCTTGACTGAGTCGAACGCTAGCCTTCCGAATGATAGTACGCAATTCTAACCTCCTGGCTATTTTTTTTTATGGCGTTGACACCGCTTACCCGATTATAAGCGAATCAATATTAGCGCGCCATTCATCTCTTCTTTTCTCTGTTTGGCGGCAGTTCGAAACACCTAGTAAGGCCAGGTCGCTCTCCATCTGATCCTACCAAACGGAGTCAAGATCTTCTTCTTCCTCAGGTGGAAACCAGTGGGTAATGCGAACGTCAAGAACTAGCCGCTGTCTCTTCATTTGATGAACAATATCAAAATCAACGTGTTACTTGAACAGCTCATCGTTCCATCGTCTGCGTTTTGATATATTTTGTTGACTCACACATTCTGTTGGATAAAGGATAAAATCGGAACTAATTCAAGCTCATCTCCCATATAACGGTAGTCTTGAAAACAAACCTCAAAATTCAGTCACTAAATGTGTAACCAAAGTCACAAATATTCTTTTATTTCATATAACGACTCCGCCGCTTGACTAAATATTGATTATTTGGGCTTTAATCAACAGTTGTCAATCCAATTTTATAGGAATATTACTTTTAATGGGTCTTCAAATCCTGAAGATGGTTCACATTGCTCAGGAAGTAGACCTCCCATATAACAAGCCAATTTTTGTCCTATTCATGGACTTAGGATCGAGTATAATATAATATTTGAGGAGTTAATCGATAACCCGATGGGTAGCATAGTTACAATGAATTGCAAATATCTGCCAGAAAATGCTAACAATATCCTACGAACGGGCCTACCCCCTATTTACCTAACCTTTAGTGCTCCTTTTAAGAGTTATAGAAAAATAATTTTTCTTATTGAGGTCGTCCCTCGGCAGATAATGTCAAACCCTCCAAGTATATTTCTGACATAAAATAAAAGCATCTCATAACCAACCATCAACCGTTCGGTGGCGGTTTAGAATAGACTATAGGTCCCTCCAGTTGTTAGAAAAAAAAAACATTGTGACAAACATCACAAATTGAAAGAAGAGGTTGACCAAAAGTCGCTGCTGTTACGTATGATCTTGATGGTCTTGTATGTCATGGAGTTCACGAGCAACGAACTGCTGGCATCCCATGCAAGTAGTAGTGCCACAAATGCAGGGAAGAAGGCCTGAATAAGACGTTGGAACACCTCCTTTGTTACTATCCAGCCTTAGCTAGAACGCGTCTTAGATATCACGGATCTTCACAGTTCAAGCGACTAGATGTGACTTCAAAATTGGATCGATATAAGGGGCGTCAGCCAAGCGGAATAACCTAACCTATCCCACATAACTACATATCTACAATGCATGCATTATAACGGAACACATTTGCTCGCTCTGCCAGTCGCACTTACTCATTTACAAATTGCCGGTACTCACAGTTCCGTTAAGCGAACGCCAACACTAAAACGTGACTTCAATTGTAAATTGTTTTAAAATGCCACTATTAAAAGTCGTCATAGTCATATCATTTTTTCCCATTAAAATCGGTGCAGGAAAAAAATCGAGGAAACACATACGTACTCATATGTACATATTACCGTCTGCAGGTACTCCATGTGCGGCAAAGGACGATTATAACGCGCAGAAGGCACGTGTGGCGGAATGATTGCAATTATAACCATAGAGATTTTAGTATGCAACTCAGTGCGGTTAGCTTATATACATACATACACGTACATATGCATATGTATGTATATTGTATGTGCATTTTGCAACTGTGTTTGAAAAAGAAGAAAATAGGTGTTCAGGTAGTTAAGAATCGCGAACAAAGGAAATAATCAACCAAAAAATGAATGCCAAAAAAAAAATAAAAAAAACTCAAAACATTCAACTCATCTGCTGCTAAGCAAAATGCGGGCTGTGATCATTGGACAACTTTTTTTTTTGCGGTCTTAAAGAATTGCCCAAACATTGCGACCTTAAAAGGTGAACGAGGTCAAGGTGATATATTTTCTGTAATTAAACACGTCTCTTAACATTGAGAGTATTTCTCTTGTCAACAATATCCTCATCTACCTCGTCCTGCTAAGAAACACCGAATGGCATCTGATGACTGCGCCTGAAGTTTTCAAAAGAGAAATTTTGCGAATAAGTTAGTAACCATGGCGCTTTTGCAAAAGCGAATATCATAGACAATGAACCCATATGCTATATGAATTATATGATGATATTGACATAAAGGGTGATTTTTTAGCCATTATCTCTTGGGCAACACTGGTTTAAACACCGGGCGCACGTTTCGTGTTTGTATCACAGTCAAGCATCTTCAGTTTGGTCTATAATTTAATCATGAATCGTATGATTCTTATTAGAACAATGCCCTTTTAGACTTAATGGAAGCAGAATTGTCGTTTTTTTAGTGAAGATCAGCAAGAGCGAAGATTGCAAGATCTACCAATTCATCCAGAAGAAGTCAAGTTTATGGGCTGGTGGCATAATTGGGCCATACTTCTTTAAAGATGATGTGAATCGTAACGCAACTGTAAATGGTGAGCGCTACCGTGAGATGAAATCAAATTTTTTTCCCCCTAAAGTAGTGATAATGGTTTTTTTTCTTTTTTTTTTAGCGTAGATACCGCTTAGGCGATCATAACCGAGTTAGCAACAGCGCGCAATACGTTTTGACTTGCATGACATGTGGTTTCAACAAGACGATGCCACATGCCACACAGCACGCGTAACAATGGACTTACTGAGAGGCGAGCTCGGTGAACATTTTATTTCACGTTCGGCACCGATCAATTGGACGCCTAGATTGTGCGATTTAATGCCTTTATTTTTGTGGGACTATTTTTTGAGGAACTATGTTAAATCTAATGTCTTTACAGACAAACCTGCTTCAATTGACGCATTGGAGGTAAACATTGAAGCATTTATTCGTGAGATACCGGCCGAAATGTTGGAAAGAGTATGCCAAAATAGCACTAAGCGGATGGACCATTTGAGGCGCACGGTTCACGGTCAACATTTGCATGAAATAATCCTCAAACATGAAATTATATGGAGCGTACTATCGATTTAAATAAAGATTTCATGAATTTTTTTTTATTATTATATTTTTTTTAAACTGTCCTATAGGACTTAAAAAATCACCCTTTAACAGTGATAGAGGAAAACCTCCACTAAGTAAGAGAAGAAGCGTATGATCGCCTTATCGGTATCTACGGCAATGAAGAAGAAAAGATACTCATTAACACTACTGCAATAAAAATTTCTGGAAATTCATCAACACTTCTCAAAAAACATGATAATCAATGTAAAAAAGGGAGCGTAAAATACAATCTTGAACTCATGTGCCAATGAACACGTCAAAACCATCTCTGACTTGTGGTTAAACATCGCCGAAACGACGCGTTTTGTGACTCTGGTCGTCTGTACTAGTTTTTTTTAGTGTCTCGGGCGTCCAACCGCTATGTGAATAATTTGAATTCCGACGGTTAACAGGTAGGGATCAAAATTTACTGTAAATAACCAAAAAATTATCTCTGTACTAAGTTTCGGTGATATCAAACCATATGGATTCTAATGGGTAGATTTCAGGTAAACATTTTGAAAATTAAAACGAGACATATACGGAAAGTTAATGCACTGAGGCTCTCCCGGGCGGTTATATCGGTGATGTTGGCAACACTATGAAGCGTACGAGTGTGTACAAACGATGTAGTGAGTTTAAAAATGATCGTATCTACTCGTATGTGCATTATGAACAGAGGAGCGGAAGGTCTTCGATTCAATACCAAGAAAATCATAGCTTTAGTGTCTTGGAACTGTCGAGACGTAATTTTAATCACCTCAATGGCAGGCCATCAACTCTGTAGGATACTGTGAGACCTTAAAAAATTGCGAAGAGCTATTGATAACAAGCAAGGAGAGGCATGCTGACAAAAGGAATCTGCCTGCAGCACGACAACGCTAGATCACACACGGCCAACACCGCGAAAGGGTTGATAATTGAATTAGAATTTAAATGGAATGTCCTAAACCATATTGTGCTTTCCCCTGCTCTAGCACTTTAAAATTACAATTCCCTTTACCACTTCGAAGCTTCACATGAGTGAAAGGAAAAACGTTTTCAACCTACTAGGAGGTAAAAGCGCTAAGGGAGGAATAGACAAAGGAGTTACACTTACTTTCAGAATAAGCCTAGTATAAGTAAAAAGTGGACTATGTGACAAATATATGTAAGAGACGCTTTGTAACCGGTTAAGCGGTTGTCTGCCTAACTCCTCCGCAAATTTATGGTTTTACGTCTTGATATTATTCCCATCAAATGGAGATCCCTCCATTCAATTTATACTAAGCACCCCACCAAAGTTTCTTTTATTTCATGTCAGAAATAGGCTCGGAGAATTGACTTTCCCTGCCGAGGTGTGACAGCAATTAGGAAAATTAATGTTGGACAGTTGGAATGGCAGTGTGCAATGCTAACCACTCGGCTATGAAATCAATTGAACCATGAATATGATTTTTTCGAATATATCGTTCCATGGTTTCCTACCTTTTTCTCGACCATCCAGAAACCCTTTAATTTTTCACTCAAAACGGTCCAGTCGTTTAGGAGAAGATAGGTGGCAAAAATTTATTACCAACCAAAACTTAAAGAAAAACATAATATAAAATAAAGTATACGCATACAATTTTCAAAATCTGAAATTCTCCACAAAGGTTAAGGCGTGCAAGGAACTTCAAAAGAAAAAGTATCTTTCTAATTTCAGTCGAACGAAAAAATTTTCCACAAAAAATTTACAATATAAAAATTTTCGTGGAACTATTCGATAAAAATACAATTTCATTGCAAAAATTTGTATGAATTGGAAAGGACAATTTATTTCCAGCCAGGGTTAAAATCAAATTTTTAAAACCAAAAAAAGTGTAAGAAAATTACAAGCATGGAGGATGATGAAAGGGTGAGGAGCCAATTTTATTACTTCGAAGTTTTCTTCTGTTTTTTTTTTTTTTTTTGAATAATGTGTAAATTTTGCTTTTAAACCAAATGCAGTTAAATTTAAATCTCAATGAAATATGGCGCGCTTGCCGTAAAATACAAGCGACCATTTTCCGCTATGGTTTCGATATATGCGCTGACTTCGAGGAGCACGATCCAAACTGTACCGGTTTGATATCAGGTAAATTTTCTGCAGAATCTCAGAATTAAGTATATTTTCATTACCAACACTTTCTCTCTCTCTCTCTCTCTTTCTATCTATCTCTATTTCTCTCTCTTTCTTTCTCTCTCTCTCTCTTTATCGCTCTCTCTTTCTCTCTCTCTCTCTCTTTCTCTCTCTTTCTTCCTCTCTCTCTCTTAGACTCTCTCTTCACCAGCATCTTGGGCAAGTACAAACATGTTGTGGGTCTTTCGGAATTCGAGCTACTTGAAGTGACAGATTATTTTCGTCTGCGCGATGGGCGCGTGGCTTATAAGCAATTTTGTAAAGTTGTTTGCCAAGAACGTGAGACGATTGATTTTATTTTTTACAAATTAATATGAAAGTGATTAAATTCCTTATATAATTGTTTTCAAGCGGCATCCGTCAACAAAAAGGATTTGGCCACCGGTTTGGAATGGAATGATCCAATGCAAATTAATGTTATACCGCGACCTGAGGACCGTCGACGTTTATGTTTGATACTCATTAAAATTGCCCAATACAGCAATTTGCCATTATTTCCATATTTTCAAGATTATGAAATAGTAAGTTGTCATCTTAAAAGTATTATCTTAAGAACACAACCGATAAACCACTGGCACCCGCCGCCATGCGGGTCAGTCGCGTCCATCTCTTGTGATTTTCTACTACGCTTCATTTAAGCAGGCTTTGGGTGGTTGTGTTACAAGTGAGCAAACTTTGGGCCCAACGTAGTGCCAAGGTTCTAGGCCTCGTTCGACCAACATTCCGAATTATAGAAAACCAATTTTTCTTATTGCCCCTCGGCGTACTCAAAAGTGATCTTTGATCATATAGTCCTCTTACATTGGGGCGTGGGCACAAATCAGTGATATGTTAAAGTACTACGGTTTGTGGCAGAATATGAGTAGACATTTATCCGCCAGGACTCAGCGACTGAGTGTCTTTTCCACCACGAATCCGACACCAAATTTGATCTCCTTTCTTTCTTCAGTATTTAGTCTTACCAGCTGGACAGCGGCACCTTCACAACAAACTGGCGGGACATTCCAGGTGCATCACCTGAAAGTGTAGTTCATAATACACCTGTATTTCTCATCATAGGCTTAATAATATTTTTTAAGTCACCAGAACACAGAATATTATATAACCTACGCTTACAAACGTTTATTATACGTATAAATTCTTTAGGTATCACAAAATGTTGGTGTCGTTACTGTTGCACATTTCTCGCGAGTGCTACACTTTCTAAAGATCCCACTCTCAGATGATGACTTTCTACTCTTGCTCAAACGTTATCTCAAGGATTCTTACACGGTGAACTATGTAGCCTTTGTAAAACATATACAAAACATTATGGATTACATGAAGCAGAATAATCTTTTGGACAACGCGATGGTGAGTGTGAATATTCTATGTAAAACAAACGTTAAATTCGAAAGAATCTCTCACAAATCCCTAAGCAAATCATAAAAGACTTTCCTGGCCGCCTGGTTGATCTAGAACTCTCCGAATTACCAGCAATTAATGGCACTAAAATGGCATTAAGAATATTTCCCGATCTGTGCAATCATCCCAAAGAGAATAAGGATGTGTGCGATATCATATTCTGTATACAGAGCTACGTACACAAGCGTCGTGTGCGCGTCAAGGAATTCTTGGAATGTTTCGATAACTTGCACACCGGCACAATAACAAAAAATCAATTCGAACGCGGTCTAGATAACATCGGAGTACGCAAATATCTTTCACAACGTGATATGAGATTACTGATTACACGCTACTTAGATCCGATCGATTCGAATCGTATAATTTGGCGTTCGTTCGAAGATGAAATCGACCGGGGTATGCATCACATCTGAGTACGCATATATAGCCTATATGTACGTATGTCTTGTATACTTTTCTTAGTTTTCACACTCAAAAATTTGGAGAAGATGCCGCTTGTAGAAGTGCACTCACCACCCGATTACATTCAGAATATGCCGCGTGACGGTACTTTAGATTGGGATCGCGCCGAGGAAAGTGTACGCAATTATTGTGAGGAAGCTCTTTTACGTATACAAACGCGTATACGCAATCGTCGTCTGCATCTGCATCCATTTTTCCGCAACTACGATAAGTAAGTTAAAATTGAAAGCATTTTCAAAGCTCACATCCATTTTCCCTTCCTTCACAGATTAAACCGAGGGCATGTCGGCTGTAATCAAGCCAATCAAGTCTTCCTCACCAACGGCATTTTATTGTCTAATAATGAGCTGAACGCACTGCTAGAACGTTATGGTAATGAGCTCGGCTTCAACTACACAAAATTCCTCGAGCATGCCGATCCTGCCGAATATGCTGTACCCAAGTTGAAACCACATCCGGAAGCATTGAAAACCAAATGTCCGGCTATTAGCAAAGATGCCGGTGATCACTTTAACGAGGAGTATATCATTAAATTGTTATCGAATATCAAGCGACAGGCGATAACTCGTAGCATCAATATAATTGACTTCCTACAAGATTACGACCGACATCGTGAAGGCGACATATTAGAGATCGATTTTAGACGTGGCTTAAGCAACGCGCTTATAAATCTAACATCGGATGAATGGAATGCGATAGGCAACATGTGAGTTGATTTGTTTATCGAACGCGCAGCTAGCTTAATTTGTATGCCATGTCATGTGCCTTATCATTCCTAATGTAGGCGGATCTTTGCACTCGAGGAGTCAAAAATCTGTAAATGTCTTTTGCTTTTCTTTAAACACTTCAAATTAACTTATATAAAATGTTTGTTGTTCTTGGATTGTCATATATGGCGCAAAATTTGGTTTCTTATAGCCTCAGCCTATTCTGGACCATTCCCGCCTCAGTTCAAGAGGTTTTTAGTTCTTCTTCGACTCGGAGCCTCTTCATTATCATTTATCTATGACCGGAAACAGTGGTAATGGAGTGCTCACTGTTCGATTAATTAGACGGCTGAATATTTGTGTAGTTTCTTAGTGAACTATTCGTGACTATGCTTTAGTCTTGTCAGACTTCGAAGTTTTGAGTTAAAACTATATATGGAAGCCCTTCTTTGTAGTGGGTAGTGAGACGAGTCACTTTCCTGACGGAACACATTACGGAGCACTGAATCATCATAAATTTTCTATTGCAAAAATAATGGAGTACTTTTTACTATACCTACTATATTCCTAAAATTTCTCCATCAATTATGGTAAATATTTTTTTCACCTCTAGTTTTCGCTCGCCCAAACGCGCGTGCTGTGTACTTTATCGCGATTTCTGTCGCGCACTTGATGAAATCTTCATTGAAATTGAAACCTCGATGGGTGATAAGCAGATCACTGCCGTACCTCTCATACATTTGGCGAACTTGGATTGCTTGGAATGCTTCCTCAATTTCGAGGAGCGCACATTGTGCTCTCAAGCGCTCATGAAGTTAGCACGCAAACCGGACGAAATCTCTAATTTGCGACAAGTCTTCCAAGACTTCGATCGCGAACAATGTGGCACAGTTACGAGGAATCAGCTGGTGCGTGCTTTGACAATACGCGAAATGCACAATATGATCAGCAGCCGGGAGTTGGATGCAGTCTACAAGTGTTTCGGCCTACAACGCGGTAAGCTTCCACTGACTTGATCGTCTGTAATTATTCTAACTTAAAATGATTTTTATGACGCATTAGGTCTGCGCTTGGAGTTCAAATATCGCGAATTCCTTAGCATGTTGGACATACTCTTCCAGACGGGGCAAGTAAAACGCAATTATTAGTGAGACCGCCAATGCCAATTCATGTGTTGAAAAAAAAATTATTTTTCGTCCTGCTAAGTTTTGTATATGTACACACGTGTATGTGTTGAAAATTATTGATCTTTATAGGAACGCCATCGGCAATACACAAAAAATTATTGGATAATATTGTCGAAAAAGGTTTAAATAAAAATATTGTGAATATGCGAATATCGTAGGTAAATTCTTCTCCTTTATAAAGGTCGAAAAAAATGCTTGTTGAGTTAAAGTTTATTATGCTTAAAAGCATGGAAGCCTACTGACAGGCCAGTTAGCGTCTTAAGGCCACGTAGTTGTGCCTAGAGGGGGCAAAGAGGTTTAAGTTCTACTGCGCGTCACTAACAGAGGGAAAAAAAGGTGAGAGCAAAACCACGTAGTTTTTCTCAGATAAAAATTTTGCTGAATAAAATTATTTTATTTGTTGCAAACACGTTAAACTTTGCAAACGAATCATGAGCAGACTATTTGGAAATTAACGAACTCTTAATAAATGAGCTTATGAGTATTTGAGAGTAACTGACATTTATTGACAATTAAATAAGATTGATTACTTCCTTCTTTTTTCTGCTTCTTCTTTGATGTCATAGACAGAACCGAGTTAACAACAATTCCTTCTTTTCGCTGTTTCATCCCAATTGGAAACTCGAAGTGCAGTCAAGTCCTCCACCATCTGATCGTTCCATCAAAGTGAAGATCTTCCTCTAATTCTGCCTCTACCAGCGGGTACTGCATCGAAAACTTTCAAAGCTGAAGTGTTCTGTTTCTTTAGAACCATCTGCCATAGCCAGCGTAGTCGCCGGTTCTTGATTAGTTGAACTATGTCAATTTACATCGTTCCATCGACCTCAAAACCTTTCTCTCGAAACCTCCTAACGCCGACGCATCGGACATTGTGATTGCCAATAAATATTGGGTTGCCCAAAAAGTAATTGCGGATTTTTCAAGACAGTGTCAAAATTGGTTTCGCAAATTCCGTTCTGAAGATTTTTCACTTAAAGATGAGCCACGTTCAGGTCGGCCAAATGAAGTTGATGATGACCAAATCAAAGCATTAATCGAATTAAATCGTCATGTAACTGAGCGTGAGATAGGAGAGAAGTTAAATATACCAAAATCAAACGTTCATTATCACATAAAAAGTCTTGGGCTGGTGAAAAAGCTTTATATTTGGGTACCACATGAATTGAAAGAAATTCATTTAACACACCGAATCAACGCTTGTGGTATGCACCTTAAACGCAATGAATTCGATCCGTTTTGAAAACGAATCATAACTGGAGATGAAAAATGGATTATTTACAACAACGTTAGTCGAAAACGATCATGGTCCAAGCATGGTGAACCAGCTTAAACCACTTCAAAGGCTGATATCCACCAAAAGGAGGTTATGCTGCCTGTTTGGTGGGATTGGAAGGGTGTCGTATATTTTGAGCTGCTTCCAAGGAACCAAACGATTAATTCGGATGTTTACTGTCAACAATTGGACAAATTGAATACAGCCATCAAGGAGAAGCGACCAGAATTGGTCAATCGTAAAGGTGTCATATTCCACCAGGACAACGCTAGACCGCACACATCTTTGGCCACTCGCCAAAAACTGAGTGAGCTTGGCAGGGAACTTTTGATGCATCCACCATATAGCCCTAACCTTGCACCATCAGACTACCATTTATTTCGATCTTTGCAGAACTCCTTAAATGGTAAAACTTTCGGCAATGATGAGGCTATAAAATCGCACTTGGTTCAGTTTTTTGCAGATAAAGGCCAGAAGTTCTATGAGCGTGGAATACTAAATTTGCCAGGAAGATGGCAAGAGGTTATCAAACAAAATGGCAATTATATATTTGATTAAAGTTCATTTAAAGTTTTATTGAAAATGCATTTACTTTCTTTAAAAAAAGCCGCAATTAATTTTTGGGCAACCCAATATATACAGAGCGTGCTTATATTCGGGGAATGGGTGATTAGGGGTGCCTGGCCTGGGCTGTATTCATACTTACGCATTTCGGCCTTTCTTTTTTCGTTCTTGTGTTGTTGTACCGGTATCTAACAAACAAACCCCGCACGTGTTGCGATCGATTGCAAGGTTGCGAGATCGGCAGTCTGTTTTCTCTCTACTGTAGCTCAACATATCTCGTCCTACCAGTACAGGCAGTATGTAGGAAGTTTGATATGGCGTTCCTCAGTTCCCTTATATCGAGTTGCTGATGACTGCTCTCAGAAAGCAGGTCTACAAGTAGAATAAAAAAAACGTTCAGCTGTCTATTGAGATTGCAGCTTTTCGTCGCTCGAACCTTCCTTGTGTTTATGCCTTGATGGGCATTTTATGATACACAGAGCCGTAGCGCACTCACCACATCGGTAAGGGTTAAATAAATAAAAATCGATCAATGCTTAAAATTTAACAAATTGTAATCCAAGCAAAAAAAATGCACCAGCAAACAAATAAATAAACACAATCAATTACTTATTTGTACATTGAGTTTTGTTTTATTTTTATAGATTTTTAAATTAAGGTTTCTCATTCATTGTTGCAAGTAGTAATTTGCCTTTCCTGTATTCTAATTAAGTTTTTTTTTCTTTTGTGTTTATTACTTTTGTTTAGTTTGTTTTGTTGTTTTTTTTTTCACTGAATAAAATACAGTACATACATGTAGAACTATGAATAAACATTATCATTACAATGTTAGCAATTTAACATGTCATTTGTAATAACTTTTTAATATAGTTAATACTCGTAACCGTTTTTTCACACGTACATACATCATTTATTCATTTTATATGCCATTTAATTTTAATTTTACTTCATTCTGCGGGATTATCGTTACTTGCCTTAATATAGTATAGCAACAGCGTATGTAACAGCGTTTCCTTTAGATATTCGCAAATTATACATTCATCTAGCCGCGTACAGACTACGTGGTAAATAAGTTTGTGTGTTTGTAAAGGAAAGTACTGTTTTGTTGTTCTTTTTTTTAGTATATATACCTATATATAGTATACTTTGTTTGCAAGGTAATTATAATTAATAATAAATATGCCGATTTCCTACTATTCCAGAGTTGCATACAAAGCCAGTGAGCGCGAAACTTTTAGTATACGCATTTACACAACACACATTCATATCTCCCAGTCGTTATGCACGGTTACAGAATGAGAAGAAAAAAAATATTTCAATTGTATTAAATTCATAGCATAATGACTATTTTTTACTTGCGCCGTCCTACGAAGACCCCAAATTCCCCATTCATATTTCAAAACCCTATCCTGCATGCCCTGCTCTATAATCATTTTGCTTTTATTGTTTAGATTTTTATTAAAATATAAATTCTGTTTTTGTGTTTATTTCTGCATTCTATAATATTTTAGTATATATATATATATATATATATATATATTTATATATAGACTATGAGAATAAATATATATATATATGTTTTACTTTATTTGTATATGTACTAGCATGTATGTATGTAGTTGTATACATACTTCGTCTTTAGTTGAATTCTGTATCTAATTAATTTGGTGGATTTGTTTTGTTGATGTTTTGTTGCTCTCTTATTAGTTGTTGATGATGATATCTACTCTTACTCACCACGATTATCTCTCTTCTAACTCTAACCCTTTTTCATTATCTCTAAAGTACTCTTGACTAAGCATATCAATATGGGAAGTTTGTATATTTCTGCTGAATTATCATTTAGATTTTGCCATTTTTTCGTAGTTATGTATGTATGTATGTATGTATATGCTTATTTTAAGACATTAGTATATAATTATAGATAAGTATAAAAAAAACTGTTACATAACTCACATTATGTGCACTAGCAAAAATCAAGGGATTTACAAATATACATACATATGTTGCATACCGCTAGACAAAGCAATAGATAGCTAAAATTACAAATTGAGCGACAATTGGTTATATGCTGAAAATGATGTTTGGTTTTGCTAACACACACTCTCATACACATGCATACATAAATATGTATGTATAATATATATACATGCATTAAGGCATATTGTCCGCAATGGTTATTATGGATATGAGTTGGGGGGTGGTGTGGTGTGTTGTTATAATTTTGTAGATAAACAGATTTTTTTTGTTTTTTTTAAATTATGATTGAAATGTATTATTACAAACGGCTAAACTGATAACATATCAAAACTACTACTTAGAGCATTAAAAATTACCATTTTAAAGTAAGTATGTATATAAGGTAACATAAGATTAAGAATATTTTTATTATATACGTTATATAACTAATGAAAAGTACGGCTAATAAACTATTGATTGTTGAAATGTTGTTGTTGTTGTTGTTATTAAGTTGACACTGCACTGTTAGTTAGTGCAACGCTGGATATATATATATATTCTTTTTTTTTGTAAACTGCTTGCATTTCTATTGTGGTAAAAACAGAAAACATAGAAGGCCGGCGTATTATTATATTCAAATTATGTTCATCATCAACACATGCACACGCATTTATACTGTATTGTTGAAGTGAGATTTGCGACTGCAAGCGTTCTCAAATTTAGGTTTCGGAATGGTGTTTAGGTGTATATTGAGCGCACATGCTCTGCATTATTGTATGAATATGAAATTTTTTTTTTTGTTTTTTTTTTTCAAATATGGAAGGATCTATATTTATGCGGTTGAAGATTGTGGCGACTTTGTATACTGGTAGTTCGCTAATTAAAACGCTGAAAATGAAAGAAAAAGTTAACTTCAATAAAACTATTGTTACGAATAAAGAGAAAAACAATTTTTGGTAAAAACAAATTTAAGACAGGAATTAATTCACTTTAGAAACTTTTGATATACATAAATATACACTATTCTTTTTGCAATACATATATATGTATGTATATGTGCACACTTAAAGGAATTTCCAATAAGAGGTGTTACTTTGAATAGCCTGCTATTCCGTTAGATGCCAGTTTTGAAGCTGTAATTTTTTGACATTTCCCAAGTAAAAACTACGCCAGTAATAAAAATGGAACAAAGCACGCTTCAACAACGCATTGATGTTTTTAAGATTCACTATAAAAATAGTGAAAACCTAGCAAAACTAAAACATTTTTCGGTCGTCGTGAAGCACCTTGTCGGATCACAGTGCAGAGGTTGGTAGAAAAAATTGAGCTGTTGGTACAAGTTAATAATGTGCAAAAATAACTGAGAATATTACTGCTGTAGCCCAAAGTGTTGAAGCAAACCCAGATTTTTTCACGTAATTGGTAACCACTTTTTCGAAAATGAGGCAGAGACAAGAGTTACAGCTAATGGATCGATACATCGAAAGATGATTAACGATTTCTTATGTCCGAAATTGTTTTGTTTTGATCTGGACAACCTTTACACTCAACGAGACGGTGCTACGTGCTACACAAGCAACGATACCATCGATCTTTTAAGGGAAAAGTTTCCGGACCGTGTTATCTCTAGCAGAAGTGATTGCAACAGGCCTGCAAGATTTCTTACTGTGAGGACAGGTGAAAATTAAGGTATACGCCAGCAGACCGACGTCGATTCAAGACCTCAAAGCAGCCACTTTGCGATTTGGTGATGGAAAATTCCATAAAAAGGATACGGTCCGGTAAACGTATTCGATGGTGGCCATTTATTTCATTAATTTCCTATTATTAATGACATTCACATAGGTATCTCTTTACATTGAAATAAACATCCATTCATTTATCTCAAATTCAAATTAACCCCTCTTATTGGAAAACGCTGTATATGGCTTTCTCGACGTTTTTTCAAAAACTATTGCCATCTTCCATGCCCATATAATTTTCCATTCTTTGAACTTTTAATGATATTTTACAAGTTTTAATTTTAACTTTTTTTCTTAATTTTAATAATTATTATTAAACTATATTCTTGTTACTTACCACATCTCCCGTAAGGATTATCTGTCGCTAATTTTCAGGCCATCAGTAAAGAGCTAAAATTTTTCAAGTATTTCTTCGTGTGCAAGTGTGTATGTGTTCATTTTTTTTTTAGTAGTATACCGGCGCTTGTCTATTACTATCAACTTATTGCAACAAAAATGATTAGTACGGTTGATGTCTTGGTTGACGTCCTGTCCCTCTTTGTTTGCCCGAAGGATAACCGCCGGCGCCTGGTTAAGGAAATACAAAATATAAAATAAAAATAAGTGTTTGCCACAAAATTGTTGTGACTTATGCTAACCGCCAATGGCAGCATGAACCCAAAGATTATTTTAATAGTACAACATGCGCTACGGGGGTAGAAACAAGGAGTAGGGGGGAAGAGTTAAGTTAAATTTGCCAACTACAAAAAAGTCTAACTTAAAAGAGATTTTCGATTTAATTTTCTTTTTTTACATCACTTCCAGTTATATAAAACCCGATAGAACGTACCATACTCGTTTTTGAAGACTGGAAATAATGCAAATGAAGTAAAATAATTACTTTTGAATTTGAAGTTTTTTTTTTTTTTTTTTTGAAAAGTGCATACATACTACTACATAGATGGTTAATGGTTTGTGGGAAAACAATCAAAATTAAGAAATCATATGCTCAACCAAATGCTTCGGTTTAGATTAATCAAACGTATTTTTGAACATTATTAAATGGACATTCCGACATATTTATACCCAATTTGTGGTCAACACATGGAATTTAAATTTCAAATTTTGAACGAAATTTTGTTGATGATGTATAAAAAAAAACTATAGACAAGTAAAAAACTATTCAACTTTAAAATATCTAACAACTTTGCTGGATAAATGTATAGATTTATTAATACCTTTTGGACCGCCGCGAGGACCGCCGGTGCCTCGGCCACCGCCGCCGCTACCGCCACCATAACCACCATCATAACCACCTCCGTAGCCGTAATCTTTATATTATTATTATTTGATATTTGAGTTCAAAAAATTGTGGTTTGAATATGCATTGATTATCAAATAGCAAGATCCGTTTTGTGGATGATATATGTATATAGCGTGCGTGCGTAAGCATTTGCGTTTGCATTTCATTTCATGTTTTCATGTTGTTGAGAGCCGGTAGTATGTTTGGAATTTTATTTTCATTTTAAATTCAAGGCGAGAAGAATATTTAATTATTTAAAACTTATTATGATAACAATTACTATTCGGAGATTATCAATTATTATAAGAGTATCTCAAAATGATACCCAAAATGATATGAAAAAGTATAATTTAAAAATAAATAAAAACGGGTTTTAAAACAATTATATTTGCTTGATAAAAAAAAACATCTAAAAAAAGAAGCTAAAATAGGTTTAAAACAGAGAGACTATTTATTGTTCATCAAGAATAAAAAATATATTTAATTAAAAGATCAAATGATCTTCAAAGAGGTTCTAATCAAATATATGGTACGTATACATTCGTTGGATCTTTGAACTTGCTTCATTTCCTCAGGAAAAAACTTAAGTGTTTATTTCCAAAACAGTTTTTTTTAGACCAAATAAACCCTTGTACCTTCAGAATCGAACTTATCAATCTAGACCTGAAGCTTACCATCTCTAATACCTTAACCAACGCCAATTTAATTTACGACACCAAGAAGAAAAGCGAGCGAGGAATGTATATTTAATTACAAATACGTCTAGCCTATGCGTCACCAGTTAGAAACTTTACCACATGCAGCCATTCATTGAGTACATGTAGGCTCTGGTAGTAAACCAATCATTTCCTTCAGAAGAATATTCACACTCATTTCCACAATTAAGAAAAGTAGCAGTTTTTTCGTTTTCTTTCTTTTATTTGCTTCTCATTTTTGGATTATAATTGTTGCTATTTAATATAATTATATATTTATATATATAGTAGAATATTTGTATACGTTTGCAATTTAATTAACTGAATAATCGTGCTTCTATGCGTTGAAAATTGTCTCTGATGACGGGTAATAAGTTTACAAATGTTTTTTTTTTCTTTTTGTTTTTGTGACTTTCAAATAACTTCAATTTCATGATATTAATAACAACTATTTTAGTTATTTTTTATTATAGAATTTTTAAAATGTTCCATATTTTTCTCACTTTAAGGGATGATTTCGATTTATTAAGAAGCAAGTGTTTGCTTATTCGGCGCGAAACGGCGCTGAACTCAATGTTGCAACAATTTTAGGTGTTTTATTTTTTACATATATATGTCGGCTGACAAAGAAATTTTGCTTTTAAATGCTATCAAAATCCAACCCTTTAATTGTGGCGATTGTTATTAATTTATTTTCCTTTTCAAAGTGACATCTTTTCAACCATTTTATTTTAACTTTATTCAACATTTGCACTCCCTCGTTGTTTATTTTTAGTTTTTTTTTTTTTACTTTGTATGATAAAACAAAAATTATATGTACATATAAATAATACATACATATCTATATTCATTTTTTCATTCATTTTACGGTACCTCATTTTCCACACAGTAGTATTTTCATTGCAAAACTCATATTTATATTCGCTTTAAAATTACAAACGAACGCACATTTCGGTAGACGCCAATGGCAAAAATCAACAAAGTGGATAAAGTAAAAAAAAAAAAAAAAAAAAAACTGAATTTTGTAATTTGATGGAGAAATTTGGTTCTGCTATAAGGCAGATATTGCCGAAATATGTAGTTGTTTATAATAGCCTTCTTTATGTTCTCAATTCTGTTTTCTTTTTGCCATCAGCACCGAAACGATTTTCGTACATTTGTGTTATAAATGCAACTGCTTTGCTTGCTTTTCTGTGTTTTTAATGTCTCACCTCACCAAAAATGCTTTTTTATAGTTAAATAATTCACTTCATCTCTCGCTTTCTTCTTCTTCGTCGGCGTCGCGGTAGGCGTTTTACATTTTAAATTGATTTTTTTTTTTTTTTTAAATTTTCATATATAACTCATGGGACTTGTATAGGATTATAAAATATTTTAAATCGATTATAATTTGAATAAATTGATTGTTTTTAAAGATATTTATGTTAAAAGTTATTATTACTAGTGTAAAATTTTACAAGAAAAACAAAAACGCAAACGCAAATTTCTTTTATTATTGTTATTATATATTTAATTTTTGAAAAACTGTTGTTTTTAAATATGTGAATAACTATGAAGTTTAAAAACTAATTTTATACTTGAACGTTAATCTAATGCAAAACATTTAATATTGAATAAATGTGGAAGTTTTCTCATTACTAAATACTAATTTAAAATTTAAAATTATTAAAGAAATAGATATATGATGTTGTAATTGTTTACTTTTATTTATTAATATCTGAACCAAAAAAATTAATAAGTGTGCTTGATTGACTTATTATGAAGAGAAGATAAGTGTAAGTAGCTTTTTTTGATAGCAATTATTCAAAAAACATATCAAATATATGCAATAAATTAAAGAAAAAAAGTAAACGTTATTGAATTCAAAATAATTTGCAAATATAATATTACTGGAGAAAATCTTTAGTTTAATGTAAGATTTTAATGCAAATAAAATAGACCGTATTGTTGTTTAAGACCTTTTACCTCACTTTGCTAAATATTCTGTGCAGATTGACAAGTTTTTCAATTGTAATTTATCGTGAAAATTTTTAAATTTGCTTGTTTTATGCTTAAATTTATGGTTCAAACACGTGTTTTAACTCTTCATAACGAAAAGTTTTAAAATGAATTTTTAGCAAAGCAAGTTTTGTGCAATCTGACTTAATTTCAGAAATACAGTTTTTCATTACAAAACAAAATTTCTTAACTTTCTTATCTGTCTAAATTTCGATCTGCAATTTTTTAACTTAAAAATTAAATTCTGAAAATTTAAACCATTTACGTATAAATTAATTAATCTTTAACAGGAAGAAGGAAAAATAACTTGAAACCGGTGTTATGTGGTGAGTTTAATTCAAACAAAAAAGAAGAAATGTATTGCCTTATTTTTTCTTTTGCTAGTGTGTTCATTGTTGTTTTTCGTCTTGTCACTGTTTAAATTTCTCGCTGTTATTGTCGCCGCCTCAACTAGACGATCATAACTTTTCAAATATGGTCTGACAATTAGGTATATATGCAATTGTTAGTTGTAGCGAGTTACGGTAGCAAGTTCAGTTTGTTTTTTTCAGTATACATATATGCATATACATATATACATACGTTATGTATAAGAGGTTTGTGGTGTGAGGCGAAACATCAGAAAATTCGGTATTACAAAATTATTTCATATACTAATTTTTTATGTAATAGTTTCACAAATATATATATATTGTATTTATAATATATATAAAATTTTCAATAAACACATTTAATAAGTGTTACGCAAAAGTTTTGTATTTAATTTATAAGTAAAGCAATAATAATCAATAAAAATAATGAATACAAATAATATTAGGGACTTTGAAATCAAAGCGTACACAAAAAGTTGAGGGCAAATAATAATCTATTGCACTTTATTTATATTCTTTTTGATTTTGCTTTCTGCACAACGTTATTTTGATTGTTTTGACGTCTAGCTGGAAAAGCAAAATAAAAAAATGATCAACTTTTTGCGTTGCTGATTTTTTAATTCCAAAATTAAAAATTGTAATAACTATGCAAATATAATTTCAAATAAAAGTAAAGATTTATATAAATTACATATAACTAATAATTTTATTTTTACGTTTTTTATTTGTGTGGTTTTTACACCAAAAGTGTTCAACACTGAGAAACATGCAAATGTGTACGCTTTTATTTCGGGTATATTTATATACTTTAGATTAAAAGACAATAAATATTAACTTAATTTTCGATAAAAATAATTTTAAAATATACCCTAAAAGATTTAAGAAAATACAAAAAAAAAACTACATGGGCCGAAAACAAGACAAGTCAAATTTACAGCACAACTTCATGTTGTTTCATAATATATAAGCTCCAACTGTAATTTAGTTTATGAAAACGCAGCGCGAAGTATGTAGGAATAAAAAAAAAACAAGCGTTTCCTTTACCCATGATTTGAACAAATATTACTGATCGGCTTGTTTTGACTTGTTTCGACTTTTCGACACCATTGCGTAAAATTTCCCAAATGTAGACCTTTTTTTAATTAAACCATTTGCTTGCAAACAAACCAAAGTTTTTAGCAATTACTTAAATATATTAGTATGTATGCAGATCTTTCGTATCAAATATTGAAAAAGAAAAAAAAAAATGTTTCAACAGCTTTGTTCGGTTGGTCGACTCTTTTTTAAACAACATTGTAATATTGTCAAGTCAAGTCAAATGAATGTTACATATTCGCTTTAGACTTGGTAAATATACTTTAATTTTCAAATTAATTTTACGGTAAAATTGACGAAGTGTGTGTATAAATATAGTTTTTAGTTATTTAATATTTTGTCTCGAAAACACAATAAATTGTAACAACCTAATTATATCGTTCAAACGCTGCTTGCGTACTCAATAAATTAAATATAACAGCTGTTCTATAAAATTTTACTGTTATAACGCGCGACAATTTTCATTAAACATCGGAAGCATGTTTTAGATTGAAAGCATTTTTAATGAAATTTCCTCTCGAATTTCACCATTTTCATATACGATATTGTTTAACTACCTTTTTTTAATCAAACTGATTTCTATCGTGGCTGTAAATTCTAGTTCTAGTTATTAAATATCTTTCACTCAAAGGCTTCGTTGGTATAGCAAATAAAAGAAATCTTACTGGTATATGTTTAATTTCAGTATGTACGCCTATGTTTCATCCATTAATGCTGACGTTTATTTTTTATTAATCATGTCTACACATACATATATTACGCACATGAAGAAACGTCGCAGCAAATGCATTTATTCGCGTTTTTTTTTTTTTTTTGTTGCTCAGCAACAAATCACTCGCCATAGATTTAGATCTTAGGGGCTTAAAACGCCATTACTATGGTTCGATTTTATTAGTTATTTGCGTTTAACAAGCACACAGTCTATATATAAAAGCATATAGAGCAGTATGCTTATGAATGTATAAATATATATAACAATTATATATACAATTTTTATACATTTCATATAAATATATATTCAATAAAAACATATATTTACTCACATATATTCATGGTTGCATACGAAAATATATGCATATCAAAAAATTTGTTAATCACTATCAATTGGCATTTAGTGAACGGCTAATGTTCGGGTGGCATACCACAAAAACTGTTGATATTTTTTATGCCATCATACAAATCTTCGTACACAGCCAAGTGATAATAATTCGTTTAAATAATAACATATATATAATCTACAGTATAAGGATAAATTCCTTTTTTCCTCTTTACTTTCTTGGTCAAGAGCAGATCATGAGATTTTAACTATTCATAGTATTTTAGTCAATATATCGTTGGGTAAAAGGTAGGCAGCAATTTATGACGCGTTTGTATAGAATAGATTCGCCACAAAACGCGCTTATTTTACTTGTGTTTTGAAAAAGTATCGTTATACAAATAAAATTGATTAGATTGATGATTTGCTGCTCTCCTCGCTTTTTTGGCACGTTTAGGTGACAATTATCAATACTTTTATTATCTCTTCTAGCTATTAAGGCAAATTGGAGGTATTTATTTTTGCAATGTTTTAATTAGCTTTGTTTTACATTACATTCTTTTTCACGTATTTGTCAACTCTTTGAAAATCATTAGATGCAGCTAATAAATTGATTTTGTATTTTTGTAAATGTACATAACAAACGCATATGATGTACATATATGCACAATCCTGCTACAATTAATTTAAATACACTCTTCGTCAGTTTTTTTTTATTCCATTTACTTGCTGTTGTTTAAAATGGCGCGGAGACATTGAATGTACAGCCTAAATATTGCTGTAAACGGATTTTTATTTTCGTCTGTTTTTTTCTTTTTCAATTTTAAAATAACAATTAGTTTAACAATAAAAAAGAAATTTTGCATAAATTTTCTTCGTCTTAAAATAATATTGAAAGCAGATATGAAATTGTAATTAAAATGTTTGATCTTACTACATCAACTTTTTAAAGACAACTATGACTATATACATATATGTATATAGATATATATATATATATTCTCATTTTATAATTACGTTTTTGTTTTTCTTTTTCGTAACAGAATGTAAAATTTTACGTTACTAGTTTCGGAGCGTTTGAATAAAAAATTATGTAAATGTGTATCATGATGCTCTGAGTAATAAATTGGTGCAAAATCATACATAATCACAATTGTCATGCAATTAATTCAATGTATATATTGCATATCGCTTACCACTTCATTACCCCTAACTATCAAGTTATTAATTTTTCTCTTACTTATATTGTTGATAATTATTACTATTTTTGTGGTGATAACCAGTACTGTTATAACTATTATAATTTGAGTTTGATTGTAAATTACTATGTGCTTGGTATTTACCGTATCCATAGTCATAGCCATTGTAATAGCCACCGCTGTAGTAGTCACCATAACCGGGATCGTATCCACCAGCGTAACCGCCATAGGGAGCATAACCGCCCTGACCAGGCCATTGTGGATATCCTGACGGACGAAATACATTTGTTTATTATTTATTATTAACCTGCAAACTTAGACTAGACTACAAGATAGATCATCCAATATTCTTACCTCCACGACCAAATCCTCCACGTCCACCACGAATGCCACCACGACCTCCGCGCAAGGCCATCATTTGATTTTCTGGTTTAGGTGTGGCACGTTTCACGTCAACTTCCTTGCCAGATATTTTCTGCTTAGGTGTTTTCAGCAATTCATTCACCACATCTTCTTTGTCGAATGTAATGAAGCAGAAACCTTTTCTTTGAGACTTTTGTTTATCGAAAGGCAATTCAACATCAACAATCTATCCGTGAAGAGTAAAATTATATAATTAAATTTTAAATAAGTAAAAACGATTAACTAATTGAAATAGCGCTAGCTTACATTGCCGAATTGGCTGAAATATGTTTTGATTTCATCATCACTGATTTCATTTGTAAGACCACCAACAAAGATCTTTCCATGACGCGCCTTGGCCTTCTTAGGATCGACCTTCTTATTATTGATGATGTGCTCACCGGCGGCGTGTACCTTGTCAATGGCTTCGGTGGTAGTAAATACAATGAAAGCAAAACCACGTGAACGGCCGGTCTGAGGGTCTGTTTTGACATTTATGCTTTCAATTTCACCATATTTGCCAAAGTGTTCTCTCAGTTCCTCTAAAGAAACAAATATATTTTACAATAACTTCAATAATTTATATACATTTTCACTTACTCTCAGAAGTTTCCCAGCTAAGACCACCAACAAATAGTTTTCTGTAACGACGAGAAATTATGTAATTACTAATTAATTCAATAAGACAAATTCCACATACTGCCTAATATGTGTTGCGTTAAAAAACATAAAATTTCCTTTAATAAATTTTGAAAATGAAAGCTTTGGACTTTATATTGTTTTTATTATTTGAAATCAGTACTTAAATTTATTTATATTACTTTTATTCAGGATGTTTAACACTCCAAAAAATACAAACTCACCAAAATATCTGCGAGTGGAAGGCAGAGGAGCCGTTAAACCTCTTTAGATGTAAATACGAATTAAATTCTTTTATGCAAATAAATGTATGTAATACGAATGATGAGAAAGGCAATAAGCGAAATAAAACATTAATCTATAATTCATAATAGCTATTTCAAATGCTCAAGATTTTCAAGATATATAATAAACTATTGCCGATCCGCAAAGTATGATGAATTCAAATTTAATTATTGCACAAGCCAAACCTGCAAGGACTGAAATTATATCCGGATCGACCTTTTTAAACCAACCGCTTATATATCGGAAGTAGGCAAACGAATTAAAATTAGGTATTACGGGAAAACATTATTCAGATAGTATTTTTAACACTTCCAATATATTAAATATTAAACTTAGCTCCGAAATAGTCGCTTTTAATATTTGACAGATAGATTACAAACGTAACTTATAGTAAAAAATTTAAATGCAATACTTCAACTTTGTATAAAATTGAAAACTATTTATATAAGCACTTCAAAAATATTAAAAGTACTTCATGGCAATCCAATTTTTTTTCGAGTTTAATTTAATTGTGTATCTTGTAAAAATTTTCTTCTTTTTTGATTGATAAATACCATCGACAAGTTTCTCGTAAATGGTGACCAATGCGTTTGCTAGCACGATGTATCCAAATTCCAGACATTTAGCCAGGATGGTGTTGGGAGATATTTTTCGTGAAGTAAAGATGTCGTTCACTTTTTCATCTTCTAATTACAGATCATGAATTTCGGCGATTTACGTAATCAGTTTAAAAACAGGCAGTGGAGCTGTGTTATTTTCTCAAGTATCAACCAACCCTCTCCGATCGTATTTATTGTACCGAAACAGCCGACATTATATCCTCTCCTGATCGTTGTTTGCATTGTAGATATGTTGAGATTCCCATTAGAGTAGCTATAATTGGCTTGCTTTAGGATCATCACTCAATACCTGCCGGAGAGGAACAAGGTTAGTTCACTCAAACACAACAGGAAAGCAATGATGGTAAATAGGGTATTTTTATCCTATCGCAACAATGTTTGCTACATGCTCTTTATGCGTACGTTACATTTACTTTATGTATATAGCATCCGTGCCGCGTAAAAATCTGTTTAAAGGAGTTATTTATTTTTTCATTATTCCATTATACTTCCGTATTTTTTAATTTTTCTGCATTTTAATTTGAGATTGATCCGATGGCAATTCACATGTAATTTATGTTGAAGTTTTAATTTACACATTCCGTTAAAAATAGTATTTTTCCGACATAAATATTAACGTTTTACATTAACATACTATTAAAAAAAAAACAGTAAATCGGTAAATTTTCGCCCAAAACTTTTATAATTTCTGGCGACACTTGATTGGATTCTGGCAAATCCTGCCTATTACGAGATTAAAATAAGTTCCAGACATTTCAAAAGTAACACAAATCTCTTTCGAATATATGAAGAAAACAATTTTTCAAAATTTTATAATATATTTTATTTATTTTTACACAATCTAAATAAACTATTCCTTTGTACTTACATATTTAACAAATTTTTCTAAATTTTGAAGTACAAAAATCTCACATTGAAAATATATTATTACATAAAATTTATAAAAAAAAAAACTTATAGGATAAATTAACACTAGTGGAAATAGGACAATTTCTATAAAATGAATAATTGTTTCAAAATATCTTTTTTTGAAATATTTAGTAAAAATTTTGCCAGAAATCCAACCACTTTGAATTAATTTATTGTCATTTCAATTAAATTGCTTAATTTATTTATTTTTCATTTAACACGAATGACAAGGAACTTGAAACGCAAAACGAAACCAATTCTATCACACTCTGAGCAAAGAATAGAAAAAAATCAAAGGTACAGACAAACATACAGTACAATAATTACAAATATATCTTCTAAAGTATATGCATCAAAACTACATCAAAAAATAGGCTAGACTAATGGATGCCCAACTTTTAAAAGAAAAAATCCTTATTAAAGCTGAACCCTTAACATTGTAGAATTGTGCAAACATACGCACAGAAAAAACGTCCCAATTCAAATTTTAAAATGAAATAGACAATTTAAGCCGAAAACTGTGTTAAAAGTGATCCAGTCTCTACAACTTGTATACAAAATACACATATACAAATTTCATTCTCTTTCCGCGAGTTGGCAAAAACCTCAGCAATTCAAACTTTATTGTGATATAAAACTTGCTCCAACTTTTTTTTAATCTTCTGTGATTTGTACAAAAATAAAATTATTAAATTTAATTAACAAGTTGAGTAAAAAAAATCACAAATTTTCTACCATACCGGAAACTTTGTCGATTTAACAGCATTTTTCGTAACTCAGTCTGTGATTAATTCGCGGATCTTAATGTTGATTGATTGTAATGAATAATCAATAATTTTTTTAAATTTATTTAACTAATTTAGAAATATTGAAATACATGTGAGCAAAAATGTGAATTTCATTAATAAATATTTTGATTAATTATTTAATAATTAATAAACAAAAAATAAAAATATTTAAATTGTTGCCCAAGGGTGAGAAATAATTCTCACTCAGCTTTGATTAATTTTTGGCGTATGTCTAAATATTTGGCCAACTATTAAGTCAGAATCAACCGGCGTTATTCTCTAAACCACATCAACAAAATTTGAGTCCATTAAACAAAGCGCGCCAACACAAGCATTGCTGGTTTTATGACGGAGACGAAGTACAATAGTAGAAAGGGAGATACAGGTTTTTTGCATTTCTTTTGGCAGCCATTTTTTAAAAGCTGGTTTGAAAAGAAAGAATTTAAGGTAGTGGTAGTGATAAATATGAATGTAAAAGGAAAATTGTGGGTGATAAAGCATGTCTATCATTACACATATGCGCAAAAATGTGCAACATAACCTTAAATATTCAGAAATTTAATGTTAATGAAAAATAACATGTGGGGTCAATATATTATTAGTGCATACACATGTAATTGAATTTTTAGTTATTGAATGTGTTAGATAAATACATTTTCATGTTTTATTTTTCTCATAAAAAGTGGCCACAAATGCTGATCATTGGATATAGTTTTCGCCAAATAAGCTTACTTGACGGGAAATTATAAACTCCAATGTAGTACCCATAGAAATGCAAAGTACAGTCACACACACGCGCAAAAACAGGCGACAAGAAATATACATACACTCCCCAAAGTAACTACATGAACAAAGAAGTAAACCTTTCCATTAGCATCTATCGTATACAGAATATATTTCCCTAGATTGTCTTACATACATATGTATACATTTTTTCAATTAAACTAGCAATGTCTTTACGTAACAAAAGAAATAGAAACTATCCAAAGTTAAATATTCGCTATCGGCTGCTTACATTTAAACAACAGAATTTGGAAATATATAATGAAAAACATAAGAAAAATGTTCGAGAATTTTACCTGTCGTCATCACGAGCATTTGATTGACCCTCGGCGTTTCCATTTGTACCATTAGTGCCGGTACCGTTCTCATTTTCGTTTGTGGTGACGTCTTTAGAGAAATCCTCACCGTTCATCTCAACATCGTTATTCTTAGAATCAGCCATTTTATGTTTAAAAAAATTATTTGGCGGGACTTCACTAAGATACTTTTAATGTAAACTTTAAAATATTGCAACTTTTTAAGTTTATTTTTCAAGATTTAACACAAATTTGAAGACTCGTGGCGAGCCGTAGTGACTTCTATAATGGCCGGAAGAGACAAACGCGAAAAATTGTTGTTCGGATTCGACTTCGTGCTTGTGCTGAATATGGGAAATCACGTGCTGAATTGCTTTATCCTGTTGTCTCTCTCATCTGTCTCGTTTTAATGCCCATTTATTTTTCTCAATTCCTCTAAAAACACACATTGGAAATCTCCAACCACAATTACCATCAAATTAATTAATTGCTTGCTCGATATCAATTTTCTAAAGTACTCTGGTTAATCAGCGCCGGAAGGAAATTATATGTGAAAATCGGCGTGGAAACTTCTGAAATTCTCTTGACACTCTACCGGTATGCTATAACCTAATATCACGGGTTTCAACACAATAACTATTGTTTATTAGGTATATTTGAACGATATAATCTCAAGTTCTGTTACTAATATTATATATAGGTCAATTTCTTTAATGAATATATAAGATTCCCTAATAACTAGGAAAATAAATCAAAGATATTATTGAAGAGAAAGCCAACAACGAAGATTTAAGTGTATAAACTTGTTTTAGTCAGTCTATACATATGAGAGTAAATTTAATAAAACTATTTTAGCTGTAGACAATTTTTCTCAAATTAAGGGGCAACTCATATTTATATTTTGATACATGAATAAGTTGTCTTTGTTAACAAATTTGCTGAATATCGTTCAATTCGATATTTCCGAAGAATGAGCGAGACGAATATATTTAATGGAAGGAACGCATTTTCCCTACCTGAAGAAAAGGAATAGTCGAATGAGTACAACTTTATAACTCATTTCAATTCAACTCAACACTTGTTCAATTTCGAGCTGCATTATTAAATTAAAATAAAATTTAATATTAGTAGTATACAAATAATTGAATTGTAACTGTGATCAATACATCAAGGAAATTGTGAGAAATTATATAGAGAAGCGATTTGGCAGTTAAATAAAGAATATTCTCCCAGGAGGAAGGCAGAAAACTTGAAAGCCGAAACGACAGCATTGTAGCCAAAAGACGACGACGACGGTAAGGAAGAAGAAGAAACAAGAAACCGGAGAAACGCCAAGAAAACGTTGGTGGAAATAATTTGGACAACAAAAGATATCGCAAATTTGTGACAATTTTTTGTTGATACAGAGTGCTATATGTAAATTAAGGTAGATGTGAACTTATAAACGAAATCATCACTCGTTGTATTATTAACCACCACTAAAGCTAAAGCAATACTCCTGTGCATTACAAAACCTACATACATCTTAACCACACGCCTGTTCGTACATCCAAACAGCGTAAGTAATAGGCACTTTCTTCTATTTAAATTTATATTTAGCGTCATAGAATGTGTTAATTATTAGTAATATTTATATATAAATATATACAATTATGAATCAACGAATTATTCTGTGTTGTGACCCGGCATGATGTGCGGCTCATTGCAGCAATTATCCTTTACATTAACCATTAACCTCAAAAATCATGCTTGTAAAAGTCTCCATGAGAAATTGGTTATACGTTTTATGGAGTTAGTAAGCAAATATATCTACATAGAGAAACTATATTTTATTGGCTTCGGCAATATCTATATGATTAGGGTATAAATAAAAAGTTCTTTTAGTTGCATATGATATATAAAACAAAATAACTTAATAATAAAGCCTTTTACGAGTGTAAGAATATAAAATGTTGGAATATAATGTGAACCTCTCCATACACGTATATCTTATATATCTGTGTATATGTACACATAAGTATATTAATTTTTCGAGTTTCAGAATGTCCATTTTAATTAATTTTATAGATTATATATTGTACTGTGCATAACATAATTTTTCAAAATCATTTTAATAGCAATTGATATTTTAGACGTTCATATTTCAATGAAGTCAGATAGTTATAATAATAAATAAATTTACATTAACGCAAGAAACTTGAATTGAGTTATGCTATTTTTTGCAGTTTCTTATGTAACATGCATATTTAGGTTTTTAATAAATATTTTAATATTTCACACGTGTATACATGCAAATATATATGTATATATATTTAGTAATTATTGATCACCTTTATTAAATATACTCTATACAGATTATTGTATTAAGTAACGACTGAAAAAAATGCAACGAAATTGTCTTTGTTTTTAAAATTTTTTGTTAAAACATCAGAGAAACTCATAAATATTTTTTTTTTTTTAGTTCAAATAGCTCTATTCATAGCCGTCGTCATTCAGCATTATACGATTCCAAATCGCACATCAGAAACTTCGCACGTGACTTATTGAAATTGAATTATATCTCTTCATTATAGTAACACTGAAAATTCTTTAAAAATCAAAGGATTAAAAATAAAACGCAATGGTAATGGATGCAACTCAACCACAACAACCATCTCCTCAATCTGTTGGTCGTGAATTTGTGCGCCAATATTACACCTTGCTTAATCGTGCGCCAAACCATTTGCATCGTTTCTATAATAACAATTCATCTTTTATACATGGGGAATCAACATTGGTGGTCGGTCAACGTAATATCCACAATCATATTCAACAACTTAATTTTCATGACTGTCATGCTAAAATAAGTCAGGTGGACGCTCAAGCCACCTTGGGCAATGGAGTTGTTGTGCAAGTTACTGGCGAATTGTCGAACGATGGACAACCGATGCGCCGCTTTACCCAAACCTTTGTGTTGGCCTCCCAATCACCGAAAAAGTACTACGTTCACAATGATATCTTCCGCTACCAAGACATGTATTCGGATGAAGATAATGATGCAGACACCCGTGCGGAAAATGATGAGGAACAAGAGATACAGCAACAATCAGCAGTATCTTCTGCTGCAGTCTCTGGAAATGAACAAGTGGCATCGGTGGGTACAGGTTCTGTAGTTGTGGAACCCCAACAAATACCGCCCCAACAGGCTCAATTGCCAACGCAAGTGGTGGCTGCAGCTGCAGGAGCCACTGTTTTATCTCAACAACAGCCTGGTGCACAGGCAACTGGTGGAGCACCCCAACAACAAGCCATTTACTATTCGGTTCCCGCTGCTGGTGGACGTCCAGTTCCCTTATTGGCGGCTGCAGCACCACCGCAAGGACCAGCTGCTGTGCCATTGTCTGCTCAATTTCCAACAGCTGCTCCGGCCACTGTTGTACCATCGCAGCAAGTTCAGTTGAATGGTGTAGTTGGACATGAAGATCTATTGTCGACAACCAATCAGCAGCAGTCAGGACAGCAACTTCACGTTGCACCGACCCTTTCGCCTGTGGCTCAGCAATCTGCAGGGAGCGTTTCTGTAGCTGCTCCTTTGCTTGCTGCTCAAACTGGGTCAACTACTAGCGTAAACAATGCTCCCGTTGTAGCACCGGCACCTATATCCCAAGGAGCGTCAACAAATATACCCGGCTTCCAACAATCACCTCTATTACAACCTCATGTACTTCAATCGCAAGCATCTTTGCAACAGCCATTGATCCAGCAACAATCGCAAGTCACCCCACCATCTGCAGCTATTGAAGTAGAAGATGGCGGTATAAGCCCCAATTTGACAAATTCTGAATCTGTTCCCCACACTGGTTCGGCTGGTACATTAGCAGCTGTTGAAAATGTTCCAGTTGTTGACGACTTCAAAACTATTAACGACCAGCAACAGCAGGAGAAGTATGAAGCTGCTAAACAGCAACAACAACAACAAAGCGAGCCAAAGACGTACGCCAACCTATTTAAATCGACTTCTTCATCACCCAGCGGCTTCGTTACAGCTGCCATGCAACAACAACAACAACTTCAGCAGCAGCAACAACAGCAGTCGTCCAGTAATACTTATCAGTCAGCGACTACTATCTCCACTTCAACATACTCACAATCCAATGCCAATTCGACTTCATCACTTTCTGTTTATAATAACCGCAATAGTGATACCTCATCTCTGCGACTGGATAGTGGTACTATGGGTACAGTTTCACAAGGGGGTCCATTACCTCAACGTGCCAATGCATCGCGTATGAACAAAGACTTTGAACCACGTCGGACCAGCAATGCCCAACAATCTGATAGCCAACAATTATTCCTAGGTAATATACCCCACCACGCTTCTGAAGAGGAATTAAAAGCTTTGTTTGGACGCTTCGGCCAGGTACTCGAATTGCGCGTTATGTCGAAGGCGAACGGAAAGTTGCCACTTGGCGTTAGAAACCCACAGAATTTCGGCTTTATTACTTATGAAGATGCAGAGTCAGTTCAAAATTGCTTAGCAAATTGTGTAAGTATAAATTTGAAATTTCTCACAATTTTACGGTCTATGAATAATAATGAGATCAAATAATTATAATTTTTGAAATTTCTTTAATTCTTTTTCAGCCACTTTATTTCCCCGAAAATTCTCCAGATGGTCAAAAATTGAACGTAGAAGAGAAGAAGCCGCGACCAATGCGTCAAAACGATATGCCGCCCCGTCAATCATTGGGTGGTGGTAGCAGCATGGGCGGAAGCATGAATAGTTCTCAACGTAACATGAGTGGAGGTCCACCATCCCGATCATTGTCCAATTCCGCTGGCGGTGGGACTAGTGGTGGTATGATGCGCAACTCTGGCGGTAGTGGATCAAACAGCAATAGCATGTCGCGAGGCCAATCGAGTGGCGGTGGACCACGTCTTGGTGGCGGTTTCAATCGTAATGATAACCGTAGCGGCCCAACGAATGGTGGGGGTTCCCAAGTGCGCGGAGGCAATCAGAACAGTGCACAGTCCACAGGCACCGGCGGCGGTAGCAGCTACAGCACACGTCGCTAACCATTAATATTTTTCTATCATCCACAACAGCAGCCGTCGCGCTATAATACAGTAACTGCTACCGCGACAACGGCAACGTCAACCACACCACCAGTACAGAAACAACAATAGTAATCTTTATAAGATTATCATATTTCAAAACTAAAGCGAAATGATTGGAGGAGGAAGAAAAAAAATTCAATTTGGTTTTAGATAAAATTATGATTTTGCTTATGTAGTAACGTGACGGTAAAAACTAAAAACAAAATCAAGTTCAATTCTATTTTGCGGCAAAAGCAAACTGAGAACTTATTTAAACATTGCTTTACCTAGCCGACTACAGCAAAATATTGTTTGTGAGTCTTGTCGCTCTCTGAAGAACTACTTCATTGTATAATTTTCTCAAATTACATATTTTTCATCACACCTTTCAACTGATGGTGAAGCATCTTCTGTTGTAATACATTGCTCACAAAATTCAGCTTACTGTTTTATATATTGAAATGAATTTTTATTTAATATTTTAATTTATACTAACAAAATAAATTAAACAAAAAAAAACATTCTTCTCTAGAACACAAACTCCAAATATAACCAATTTCATTATCATGTATGTATGTATTTTAAATTTGATATTTTTATTCTAAAATAAAGCAAAACTTCCCAATCATAAGGATAAAAACAGTAGCCTACAGCTTATATAATATTATATATAAAAATATATATTAATTTAAACAAAAAGAATCGCCGTAATGAAGAAATTATAAGCTAATTAAAAATGAAAACATGCAATAAAATGCAAAAGAAAGACTTGTGAAACCGAATAAAAACGTTAAAATAAATTACAAAAAAAAAAAATATATAATAATGATGAAGAGATAAATAATGTTCGTACGTTTATAAAACAAAAATTGAAAAAAATGTAAAATATAAAAAAATCCAAAAAAAAAACAATCATTCATTAAATTTGAAAATGTAAAGTAGAATATGGTGGATATCAGTTCGGGATTTTTTTTTTTCATTTTAATTGCAAACACGAAACATGTCTAATGCTGCTGCGTGTTTTGCACATATGTTCAATTTAAATACAACATTATTTTTCTTAGTAATTTTGTTTGCTACATTTTGTAGTAAAACAAATACTAACATATCTTGGAAGTCTTGAAATTGTTTTCTTTCTTTAATAGATTTCAAAAATTATAAAGACACTTGAGAACTCCTGTGTCGAATAAGGACATCCCAATTTGGAAAATATGATTGGAATTATTTATATTTAGATTTGAATTTTTTATTTTGTTAAAATAGCTAATTTTTCAACTTAATCCTGCGATTAGTTTTCCCTCAGATCTAACCATTGACAAACATAATTTAGAAGTAATTTGATGTAAACGAAAAGATTGCGTCACCCCTTTATATACATAATTAGTTTGAAAACGGTGCTTGCAGATGCAGATAGAGATAAGAATTCTAGGAAAATATCCACCCTAATTGAAAAGTATACAAACTGTAGCATGTTTTTCTTTTTTTTTTTTTATTATAATTTAAGTAATTTGGTCGTCTGACTTATGTACGAGTACGTACTTTTTAATTCTCAGCATTTTATTTTTTGTTTAATTTAAAAAAAAAAAAAATTTTTTATTTTTATACCGATAGGGTTTTAATAAAATCATTAAGTTGGAAATCGTTATATCACGGAAGCATTTAAATACATACAAAAATACATATTTATATTTTTTCAGGGCGTAAAAGTTGCAAAAACTTAAACATAGCATACCTACTTAATTATTAAAAAAAAAAATATTTATAAATAAATAATGAACTAAACCGAATGAAGAAGAATAACTTATGACAAAAATAAATAAAATAAAAATTGCATATGCATACATTTACCCTGAAGAAATCGTTACGAAATAAAAGTATTTAAATAAATCTGTTGTTTCATTTTTGCTAACGAATACGAAACTGAAAACAAGCAAAAACAATTTAAGTCCACAAATATTAAGAGTTTACCTAATCAGATTAGCATATGTGATTATACATATACATACATATATATTTATATTCTTTCATACGCATTCTCATACATACAGAAGCTGTCATTAATATTTCCTAAAAATTTATCTACGCAAGAAATCATAAAGTCGACGATTATTTCGCTCCGAGTAGCCTTTTCAACTTGTTCATATACATACATACATACATACATAGTACATACCAAAACAACAAATTTAACAAGTGCTAACAATAATAAATAAATACTGCAAATTTGAATCGCACAAAACGAAAACTTCTCGTAAAACTAATAATAATAAAGAATTTAAATGGAAAAATAAAAAAAAAACGAAATTTTATATAGGATACTGAAATACAAAAATTATGGACATCCAATGTTTTATAGCGTTTCAGTTATAAAACAAAATAACGTAAATATGTATTTCTCAACTTGTATGGTAACGTGTTTTTTAATATAACATACATATTTATGTGAAAACTAATTGAAAATTCAGAGTTTAGTGCTTAACATACATTGAAACAAAACAAAAAATATATACATACATATACTTATAATATTAATTTAGGAGAGTTTACCATTTAATAAAAAATATAAAAGTATAAAGAACTAACAGAGTATAACTACAAGATGATATTTAATAAAATGGTAACTTTAAGGTGCGTCTGATCAATATCTAAAAATACATACATGTTTGAATCTCAAAACAAAAAAAAAAAAACACTAATGGCGTTTTCTTACTTGGACTCACAATTCAAACGAAAATTAACGGTATAAGTAATTTGTCAGGACATTAACAGTTGTGTGCCGTAGCTTCAAAATCACCACGCCATTCATGGGAAGAGAGTTTATAAAGGTTTAAATGGGCTTTCTATAGATGTCGTTGTACGTCCTTTCCACCGCTCAAAATCAACTCATTCCTTCGTAAAGTGCCTGGATGGTGGTTCCGCTTCCAGTAGCGTATGGGGATCGCGGTAGAAAATAGTGGGGAGAGTCATGCTGCAGAGAGCCCTGTTGATTGGCGCAGCATAAGTATGCTCTTGGACCAAACTTGATGTCGACGCCAGTCCGATAAGAAGGATTTCGAGTACTGGCACAACTAAGAATTTGAATATTGCAGACGATTAAACTCTTACTTATCCAGACTTGCCCCACCTCTTCACATGCGCTCTAAAACAACTCGTCTAACTCCCCTTTCCCTCTGGTCCGAACCTGTCGAAACAGCTCATTTCCTGGACCTCTCGTTCGATGGCCTCGATAACTTAGACTGATCTTACCTGCTACTAAGTGGAGTTAGGGAACCGCTACAACAAGTATTTCGAACAATCTTACAGCGGGGTGCTTCTCCGTTTGGGCGCACCCTGTTGACCCGGTTTGCCTCGATGGCAGACATTATTTTTGGACGATTCCACGGCTATCAAAAAAGGCAATAATCCTCGTTTTCGTTTTCGACTGCGCGCGGCGACAACCATTGTGAGCTTTGGCGTTTGGTTTCCGGATCGTATTGAAAAAACCAGCTCTCATCGCAGCCCGATTTGGCGCAAAATTATATCGCGACGCGTTGCTCTTGATTTCGTTTTTCCATTTTCGTGACGAGTACCACGAACACACGTTTACTCAACACGACACAGCAGGTGAACTAAACAAGCTACAGCGATGGCAAATATATTAATGTAGAGGAGAAGGAGAATTTCAAGGTCGCAGGGTTACCACCATCGCGGCATTATAATCAGTCACATAATTGTCGCACCTCGTACATCTATCCTCAGGTCGCTGGTTTCCTCGGTTTCCTTCATGGTGCAGAATGTCGAATCTCGGTGTTGTAACTGGTCCGAATGATGGAGACGTCTTTGATTCACGCAGCGGAAAGAATCCGTCGGCTCAAAGGGGTGGGATTTGAACCAACTTTGCCGCAAAGTGTATGCCTTTAGCCTAGCATATCCGGATGACCAAAACGGGATTAAAGAGCACTGAACCAAATAAAATATGGCTGTCGTGAGAATTTTGTTCTTTGTTCATAATCGCGACCGTATACGAGGCAAAGAAGTGTACGCTATCTAATGTCCTACCCAGTGCCTTAGGATTGTTATAAATCTAGATTTTGAGTACGTCTTGAGTTAATGATGATCATTGCAACAAAGATATGCATCTTCTTTCCCAAACCTTTCCAATAACTCCTCCAATTTGTGGTTTTTGCTTCTTGATGTTTTTGCATTAAATGGAACGACCTACAGAGTTTATACTAAGCCGCCTCCGAACGGTTGATCCTTATTTCTTGTCATAAATACACTCGGAGGGGTTGATATTGCCTGACGAGGGACGACCGCAATTAGAAAAAATTCAAGTCAATTTTATATTTAAATAATTTTCTTCCAAATAGCAGTACGCAATGCTGATAACTCGGCTACAGCGGCGGAATCTAGTGTAGAATTTTCTTCTGAATCCTAATTTTGTGCGCTTCAAACTTACCTTTATGGGTGTTTTTTTTTTTTAGCATTTTCTTAAATTACATACCTTTTTCTAAATAGCAAGTAACCTGACTATATATAATATTTAATCGTGGATTGAGTAACAAGACAGCCAAATAATAGTTTCGATATTTTTTTTTGTTTGTTTTTTAACTTTATTTCGTTTTCTTTCATACATTTTTGAATGTAAATATGATATCCACGTTTAATACCAACTGGCCGGGGGAATGCAGCTATAAACCTGAAAACGTTATTCCTTACTTACCGTTATCATTCTCTTGAGTTGAATATATTAAGCTTCGAAGGATTCATTCGTATGGCCTCCTTAACTGTGTGCCCGATTATTATCATCGTCAGAGGGATTTCCATTAAATGGCTTCCTGGTTGTACATCACAATACATCAAGGTCTAAGTTTGGTTGCCTAAAGAGAAATATTAAAATGGACTTGATTATTTCTTTACAAACGTTTAATTTCATTGCCGACATTTAAAGCAAATCTTCATTTACGTATTTATGTATGTAATATATGTATATGTATGTATGTATGTATGTATGTAATTTTCTACTGCTTTATTATGCCAAAAATATGCAAATAACAATTTTTTGAATGAAGCACTAATGTAATATCCTTCATTTCATTTAAATAATAAATTTCAAACGTTTTTTTTATTGTACGTACAAATATGTACATATGTATGCAGTACTTATGTAAGGTCGTTAATAACCGGAGCAATGAGAAGATTGTGACTGGCTAAGAGTTTTTTCTTTTCCTTTTGTTTCTACAATATTTCTACTTCTTTATGTGAATGAAGTGCACAAAGGAGAAATTTAATCGATACTTGTTTTTAAAGGCATGTACATATATAATATGTATGTACCATAAGTCATAATTATTTAAAATCAATTACGAGAAATTGATATTCCTTAAAATAAAGTTTTGGCATTTTCTAAATGTTAATTTATGTAAAATATCTAAATATATGTATTTGTGAGCTTTGGTACAGGAATTTATTAGTAAAAAAAATAGCCTGCGTTTTCTACATAAAGTGAGTAATATTTACGACTTCTAGCTGAATGGTCTGGTAGTAGTGTTATACATAAGTATATGAAAAGTCACAGCTTGACTACACGTATTTTAATATTAATAGACGCAAATATATATATGGTATATATTATCTTAGAATATCTTTTTCCAGCGGTAGATTCTTAAATTAAATTCTCTTGAAGTTTATTTAATATAATAAAAATACAATTGCAATGGCACTCATATAAATAATTATACATACATATTTACATAGAGAAATGAAGAATAGAATATTTTTTTATATCACTTTTATACCCATTTTGGTCTCAGTAAAAAAAAAAAAAAAAAAAAAAAAAAAAAAAAAAAAAAAATAATGTCAAAAAATTAAAGCATATAAATTAGAATAATTAATAATGGCAAATTAAAATATAAAATAAATAATTATCGAAGACACACATCAAAAGAAGCAAATAATATACAGTGATTTTATTTCATTAGTAGCGCGTAATAAATTTCAATAAACCGTTCTTCGGAAAATTAAATTTATATAAATAATAAAAGTTTGATGTGAATATTTTCGAAACTTGCTTTGAATTTTTTATATAAAATATATTTGTATGTATATAAAAATATATTTACACTTACTTACGCTGTATTTTACTTACTTAGTAGAGATCGAGTACGTATATACGTATGTACACATACTTAAACATTTAGATACGTCATTTGTGTATATGCATTATGTTTTGAATGAGTTTTATATGTAGTACATATATAGTAGCAACATACAAAGCATATATACACAACATATAAAGATTTGGTAAGTACAGTACGTATATTTTATAGCGGCATATCAGTAGCAGTGCGATAAAAGTACTTGGTAGTATATATTGGTTTTTTTTTATTGTTTCTGTAAAATACACGATAAGTTGAATACTTCAAATACCTGAAAGTACAAAAGTTAACGTTCTGTTGCAATGACTATATATGTATACATCTTTTTTTTTTCGTTAACACTCATACTAATATACATATGAATTTTACTCGAAAACAAAAAAAACGCGACATTTTTTTATCAGCCTTAAAGCTCAGCCACTGTGAAGTAGAACCAAATTTATAAGACCACAATTGACATACACATAAACATGAATTCCCTTTTCATTTATAATGAAATCAGCCAAAAAGAAAAAAAATACAAACTTAACACCGAATGCATAAATAGTGCTGATAAATATCGAAACACATAAACTCCTACTTTGATTTTAAATTGTTATTTAAATTAGTCGTATGTAGTATGTCAAGAAAGAAGACCTAGAAATCATATGAATACCACAAATAAATTTGTTTATATCTTTTGCATCAAAATACCATATTTACTATTGCAAGTTGCATATAGTTATTTGATAATGCGCAATCGAATAGAAGTGTAACATTAAAGCAAGTTTACTGGCTTAAAAATTGTAAAACAAAAGTGGATTTTACTTGTGCTTCATATAAGTAGCAACAACTGAGCTTAAATCATTGCAACATACGCTGTTATAAATATGATAAGAAAATTAATATATATATTTATATATATTTTATACAAATTTTGCTAAACCGTATGTATGTATACAAAAAGAAATCTTTGTACACTTTGTTAGATATCCATACCTGTACTTAATGAGAAAATAAGACGTTAAGTAAAAAAATGCAACAATAAAACTTACATATCATAGAAATGTAATGTAGTATATTATACTTTATTTGTAATTCAGCTTTTAATAGCAAATATTTATAAAGACATACATATTACTATTACTAAATACAATATATTGTAACACACATAATTATTGTTAAAGTATAAAAATGTTTGTTTTATCTTTAATTGTTTGAAATTGTTTGTTCATTTTTTTATATAATTTTGCAGCACCTATAAGCGAATTTGATATTTGAAATTTATATATTAAAAATTGCAAGTATTAATTTAAAAAAATATATATGTATATATATATATATATAGATACATACTTTGCAATAAAAGCCAAAAGAAAATATTGTTATTTCTTGTCATGGATATTAAATAAACAGTTGTTCAATTCTATTGTTTAGTAGCAGGATTAAAAAAAAAATTAGCTTCCATAGCGAAATTCGTTAAAACAAAACTCTTCAAATGTCCATTTGCAACGAAAACAATAATACATAGCCGTCACTTATGCTATTTGGAATTTCGGACTTGTTTTAAAGCTCTCCTGCATAAGGTGCAGATAATTATTCAAAAAGTTCCTTATCCTATTAAATCATTGTGTGTAAATAAGTGTTTCATAGCTGGTGTTTTTTTTGTTTTTTTTTTCTGCTGCTGGTAATTTTCATCCATGTAGTGCTGGGATTCCTCAAATTTATTTTTTGTATTTGATTATGCAAATTCATTGCAATGTAATCTTCTTTATATACCAATGAGTTATACAACTGGTATGTGTGTTATTAAATATTTGTCCAATAAAAATTTTATCATCTATGTATGTAATTAAGTGATCTACTGCTATATTTTGGTTGCACGCTACTTACATAAGTGAATGTGTACATACCAGCATATAGATTATTTAAGTAATTTATTTTGAAATATAAAGTTCATTTGTGGAAACTACAAATCTTGAAATTCCTCCTTATAGAAGTGCGTTCTTACGTTTTTTTTTTTTCTTTAACTTTGCTCTATGTAATGTACGTAGTGCATTTTATGTTAAACACTCTTTCATGGGTTCGGTTTAGGATGATTTGTATTTATCATTATTTTATTTATTTATATTTTTTTTCTCTTAAAATAATTCGGGTAATTTATGTGGTAGTACTTTAATGTTATGTATAAGCATACATCTTACATGCCTATATGGGAAATAAAGAAAGATATTTTTGTATAATTTATAGTAGCAAATATAAATATTTAGATGCATATATAGTATTATATAGTATAAATTAATGTTTATTGTCTTTGAGGGTTAAGGATAACTAAACATAAAAACACAAAACGGAACAATAAGAAAACAAAATGTCAACATATAGTATATATTTGGCCTATAATACGGACAACCTTAACACGAGGTTCAACACATTTTTTCATATAAAGAAAGAAAAATTTTTTTTAGAGAATAAACTTTACTATACTTTGTGGAAAGATTTTTGCGAAAAATTTTGCATAAGGTATTACATATTTTTTGGATGTAATTTTTCATTTGAAATTTTTAAACTTTACATATAGATGGCGAATTTGTAACTGCTGAAGTGATTTTCGGCTTTAGTGGAAAATCATTATATTGAAAAACATACACACATCACACATCTATGTATTATATAAGTGAAGTAATGTATTCAAAAACAAACTAGCTTTCTACTACGTAACATATGTATGTATGTATAACCAAATGTCAATCTTTCAATTAATATGTGTTCAATGACATACCTGTGAAAATTTTTTAAATTAGAAAACTTTCCTTGCAATTTTTCAATAATAATTTTTTGATTTTTACATCGCTAAGGATGGTTCTGATATGCTTCATGCATTTTCTTTCTGTGTATATTTTTTTATTTAACATTATATTCATCTTGAGTTGCAAATATTTAATAAGGTCGCTTTGACTGAGATACATGCGTTTTGTACGCAGAGTTCTTTGATGAACTTTTACCCGTGGAAATTGATTCATTCAGGTAACCGGCAGAAGCGGTTGAACCTATGAAAAATAAAAGCTTTGAATATTTATTGCATACAAATTATAAGTTTGACATGTAAAGCTGACGATAACCAGAATGTGGTGAATTACACTAAAAAAAAACTGTATATTCAAAGGATTTAAAGTTTTCGGCAATAATTTCAAATAATTTATTAGTATTAAAACGTCATAATATAGTGTATGCAATATAAATAATTAACTTTTCATAATTTAGAAATACAGCTTTAGAAATATACAATAAATGCTATTCATGATTTTACTTTGCTCTTATGGAATAAATATGTATACTTATGTATGTATAAATTACCATAATTGATAAATGGTTGTAGGTTATAGGAGTTGAACGAAATTCATGATTCTTATTACAGTTATTCTGCACATTATATATATGTTTGTTATATAATCAAAACATCTATCTTAGACATTTCATAAAATATATGGAGCAATCTCTAATAGACATAATTTTGGAAAAAAAAATTAATATGCATATAAAAATAAAAATTCCTTTAAATATCGAATTAGGAAGGGATTAAAGGAGATGATGGTTGAAAAGGTTTTGATAAACATACATAAAAATTCACAATATTTATTGCTTACCATAACTAGGCGCCGACGACACACTGTAAGGGTTCATTCGATTTCCCTGTAAGCTACCAGCTTTTTGTGGACCACCGTTATATGACTGTTGGTAGTCACCAAAACTTTGCGGAGCAGCGGCTGTAGGCGCAGCAGCGGCACCATTCCAGCTATTTACGGTTGGTGCTGCTGCAGGGGCAGCAGTTGGTGGCGGCACAGGTGCTGCGGTTGGTGGCGCTGCCGCATAACCATTTTGAGGCCATGCAGTTGGTGCTGCATAGGCTGCGGGGGCTCCCCAACCTGGGGCAGCTCCGTTTTGTGGTGGCGCTGTGTAAGCACCATAGCTCGCAACAGGGGCTGGTGGGGGTTGTTGATAAGCGGTAGGAGGTGCAGCTTGAGGATAACCTCCCCATCCATTGTAAGCTGGTGGACCCATTTGTGGTGGATAACCGTAAGCGGGCTGTTGAGCATATGGTGCGGCAGGCTGTTGATAGCCATTGGCTTGCGGAGCGCCTGGTGGTACTCCTGCTTGTTGCGCTTGTGTTGCGCGTTTCTTTGCCAATTCTTGCTTGTAAACAGATTTCTTAACATCAACCAGTACATATTTTATTGTGTGATTTTTATGTACTTTACAGAAAAGAAAAACAAATTATTAAAGAAAATTCTAAATTTCGTTTAGATTTAAGGGATACTTACAAACTGCTTTATCTACTGCATCGTAGTCATCGAATTCTACAAAAGCGAAACCACGTTTGCGCCCAGTAGTTTTGTCTGTTAAAATTTTAACGCCGACGACGTTTCCAAATTGTGAAAAATGTTCAGTTAGAGCCTGTTCATCATGATTTTCCTTCAAACCTCCAACGAAAATCTTTTTCACTGTAGTACTAGCTTCTGGTTTACCTAATTCAGGTTTAGGCAATGCACGTTTGGAGTCTACTTGCCTTTCGAATCGAAAGTAGGAAAGCATAGATAATGAAATGACTCATACCCGAAATATTTATAGGTTGTATTATGACAGCTTAAAATTATAACTTACTTGCCATCGATGACGTGAGGCCGTGCGGCCTGTGCGCGGTCTACCATAAACGTGTCAGAATATGTGATAAAACCAAATCCGCGGGAACGTTTTGTTGCCGGGTCACGCATTACTATAGCGTCAACTACATCACCCCATTGCTTATAAAAAGCACGTAGAGATTCTTCAGTAGTCACCGCGGACAACCCACCAATGAACATTTTTCTGAGGTGATCAACTTCTACTTCTCCGCCATTTTGATGTTCCTAAAATGGGTAAATGGTTTATAGAACATAAGAGAATATTTTTCTTGATTTTTACAGCAAAAAGGCACATATTTGTCCCGAAATTCTCTAAAAGAAAATTTTATTCCTAAAAAAAAAAAAAAAAACAAGTTGAAATTTACATACCTCAGGTTTATGCGGCGTTTGGTAAATATTTTCTGCTGCTTTAATCATATTTATTTTTTTTAATTTTTAATTAAATTAAATTTTTAAGTTCACAAAGAAAATGGTGCCTCTACACTTTGCAATAAGGTATAAGATAATAGTGAGGTATGTAAAATTTTACAAAATGGTCGTCTATGAAATGTGTATGTATTCTATAAAATTTTAAGGAATGCCAAGATAGTTGAATTTTCAGAATAATGCTTTCGAGTAAATTATTATAACAGATTTACACCTAGAAGTAGTGAGCACGACGAATTAATAATAGAATAGTGAAAATATGTATGTGTGTATTGTTTTCTTGGACATTTTAAGAACTAGGAGGTCCTCCCTTCCCCGTTCCTGGTGTCAAAAATTTTCATTTTCACAAGAAATGTTATATACTAGATAAAAAATTCGTGGAAAAGGGGGGAACCACGCCTACTAATTAATTTTTACCGGTGCGGAGAGTCGGTATTCTGCACTTACATGTTTGTGGTTTCTGTGATGCATTTTATCAAAAAAAAAGAGTTAGACCCCCGTAGAAATGAAGCGTAGTAACATAAATGGACCTGTCGAGACTAGTAAATAATGTGAAGGAAAGACACGTGCACCTAGCTCAGGAGCAGTTGAGACTATTCCTGCTGTCGGCCAAAGTGTTTGAGGAACCCATTTCTTATCATGCATTACACCTTACTTGCATAAAGTCTTGGATCTTAAGCCTTATAAAGTTAACTCAAGAACTCAAACAGGCCGGCTATCAACAATGTCGCATCTTTTCTGGTTTTTGAGTTACATGAAAATGGTCACAATGAAAATGGAATTTCATTAAAATATCATTTTTAATGATGATAAACTTAACTGTCGTTTCTGGGGTTCGGAAAGCCCGAGATAAAATATACGGTCGTTTAAGCGTAGCCGTGGCGGCTATTTGGTTGATAATGTTTTCTACTACTAATGACATATCTCTCCGATCCGTGTTATCTCTCGAAGGGGTGATTTTGTGATGTAACACCTTGCGACTTCTTTCTTTGGAGCCACGTGAAAGATAAGGTCTATGCCAACAGACCAACGTCGACTTAAAGCCTCAAAAGATATTGAGGGCATACATCATTGAAACAAAGCCAAATTCGATCTGCAGGTGGGTGTGGTGGCTGTTTTTGCTCATGCCCTGCTTTCCCCTTTGTTTAATTTATAACTTAATTATAGTTTTTATTTAAATTATCCTGACATGTTTGTGTTCTTCACGAGCATGTTCCCGTCTCTGAATTTTCTGTGATATCTGCATTTAGAAATACGAGGAATAGAACGAAAATTTTATGCTCATTCACTTGAGCCATAATACTTAAAACGTTTACAGCGGTCTCTGGTGAGCCGTCGCTACAAAAAGGTTATAGTGAACCCTCAAACCGAACGTGTCAGATACCTTCGTTTTAGCCACCGACTGGTTACCGGATCTTGCGGGAAGAAATGTTTACATGTACAGAGTCTGAGCGGAGGACGAAAAAATTGCAATTGATAACTATGAAACTGTAACAGCACACCTAGAGCAGGACTACAGCCTGATACACCCAAATAACGTTTAGATGAAAAAATGTATGTCAATATATATTTTTTGCATATGTACATTGTTTTAATTTTGCGGTTTTGAATTGTCAGCTAATTTCAAAAAGGTTCCGATTTACGTAAAAATTGCTATTTGATTATGATAGTTGGTAGTTCAGCATTCATATTCAGCGTAGTACTTGGCAACTCCGATAGTTCTTTTCCGGTTGCTGTGTGAACGTTCGTCAGACATCATATGACATCATTTCCTGTCTTATTTAAGGTAATACGAGTAAAACTTCATTCGGATTTTTCGATTTGTGTGGTTCGGTTGGGCATTACTTTGCTTGCGTAATTGTTAAGTATTTATTATAAAATAATTTATATAAATCAGAATTCAAGTGTGAACGGTGAAAATGAGTAACCAAAAGGACAACTCAAACCAGAATGGAAATAATGGAGATTATAATGATGTAAGACATATTCTTTTTTGTTGTTTTTTCTTTTTTTTTTTTATAGAAAATACTGTTCAATGTTCGCCGCCATTTTATTTTTAATGTGTATCGCTTGTAAAATCGATTTTTATTTCTGTATTGTCATATTACTTTTTAGGAAGAAATTAATGAGCCCGAATGTCTGAGGAAGTTATTTATTGGAGGATTAGATTATCGAACCACTGATGATGGGCTTAAATCACATTTTGAGAAATGGGGTAAAATAGTGGATGTTGTGGTGATGAAAGATCCACGAACAAAACGTTCACGTGGTTTTGGATTCATTACCTATTCTCGATCAACCATGGTTGATGATGCTCAAAATGCTCGTCCCCACAAAATTGATGGTCGTGTGGTTGAACCGAAACGTGCTGTGCCGCGTCAAGATATTGATAACCCACATGCCGGTGCTACAGTTAAGAAATTATTTGTTGGCGGCTTAAAAGAAGAACATGATGAGCAATGTCTCCGTGATCACTTTGGTAATTATGGCAAAATAACTGATGTAAATATTGTAATCGATAAAGAAACTGGCAAAAAGCGCGGATTCGCTTTCATTGAATATGACGACTATGACCCAGTGGATAAAATTGTATGTAAGTACTTTTTTATGTATTGATGTATATATGTTGTGTGTGTATACGTATAGAATTTTCTAGGTTATGAGTACAGTCCCAGCTCCGCATATGTGTTTTCGATGACATTATGCGGCGTTTCATGACTGTAAGATAAAGTGTTAGGCACATATAATATTTTAGTTGATTTATTTAATTATTACTGATAAATCGATGAAAATGTATTTGTCACAATAAATAATTCCAAATCACAGTTCCCTGACACAGCTAACTACTACAAATTTAGTTTGGTTTGCTGATAGAAATAAAAACTGTGAGAAAAAGGTAATCGCTAGCTTTCGCTATGTTATGCAAATGTTTAAAAGTCAAATTTAGTGTAACACGCAGCAGCGTTACATTCTTTGAACTTCAGGGCAATTACAAATACAAAATCGGTTCATCAGATTCTATAAGAAAACTCGTAGATTTAAGATAAAGCATTAATGATCTGCAGTCTTATAGTATATATACATATATGTATGTATTTAGTAACGCATATATATATTACATTGTAATCTTAATTTTGTTTACACAGTTCCCTGAAAACTTGTTCGACTTCTAATGTTTATCAAGTTCAAATTTATATATAAAACTGTGAGAGTAATGTGAGCGTCGGCTTACGCTATGTTATGCGAATGTAAATATATTTCCAATTCTGTGTAACACGCAGCCTCGTTACAAAACTTATAATATATATAATAAGTTAATAGATTTCTAACTCATTATTGATTAATTAACTATTATTATTATTTTCTATTTTTAGTGCAAAAAACGCATAATATTAAGGGAAAAGCACTTGACGTAAAGAAAGCATTGCCCAAACAGGACATGAATCGTCAGCAAGGCGGTGGGGGCGGCGGTGGTCGTGGTGGTAATATGGGTCGTGGTGGAAACATGGGTGGTGGAATGATGGGTAATCAAAATAATTGGGGTAGCAACAACAGAGGAAATGATAGTTGGGGTGGAAATAATGGTTTTGGAGGGGGTTTCAACAATGGTGGTGGCGGCGGCGGTTGGAACAGCAATAATGCTGGTCCATGGGATAATGACAATAACGGCAGTTGGAACAATGGTCCTAGCGGTTTTAGTGGACCAGGCAATAGCGGTCCAGCCAACAGCGGTAATTGGGGCAATGATTTTGGAGGCGGCTATCAGCAAAGCTATGGAGGTGGTCCACAACGCGGTGGAAACTACGGAGGCAATAACCGAGCTCAGCCTTATAGTCCGGGAAACTTCGGTAACAAAATGGGTATGTACACTTCTACATTACACGTATAATTAACAAAAACCTTAAAAGACATAGGTACACAGTCCCAGCTCCGTATAAATCTTTTTAATGTTTTCATACGGCGTTACGAGGCTGTAATAAAAAATTTCAGCAAGTATAATATCTTTGTTAATATATGTCCTTTGGATCTCATATGTTGATGAAAATGTATTTGCCACAATTTCTGATCAAGATAAAGTTTTTTTTTAAGCTTTCAATTTAAGTCCCTAGTCGTACAAACTTTTACAAATACCATAGAAACAAACTGAAATTTCCAGTAAAATCTCCAGTGTACTTGAAAACTAACATACAAATACTATAGAAGATTAGTTTGAAAAAATTCTTCAGCAAAAATTATTAAAAAATTGTTATTTTAATATTTTAGGTAATCAAGGCAATTTTGGTGGCAATCAAGGCAATTTCGGGGGTCCGAATTCTATGGGAGGCGGCGGCGGTGGCGGCAACAGGAGGTATTAAGGTAAGTAATTCTAAGGAAACTGCAAATTAAAAACGAAAGCATTGAATCAATTTTATTAACACAATATAAATACAGTTTTGATTTTTAGGCTTTTCATTTTTTCCTTTGATTTGTAGATAGTTTTGAGATATCTTTTTGGTGAACTTCTAGAATTTCAATTTGAAAGCATAAGGTGTAAGTCACGATTTTTAATTGTGATAGTTTTTTTTTTTTTTTGGATAAAGTACAGATTATCCTTATTATAATTTATTTTCTTCTTAATTGGCTAGAAAGGATGAGTGGTACAATGAAAAAAGTTTTAATTTCACTAATCTATAATTATAGAACTAAAAGACTCGAAATTAATTTTGAATTACAATAAATGATTTCTTATTTATAAACATTTTATAGGTCGTTAATTGAGCCAGGTCACATTCGTACAGATTCAAGCAAGCAATCCAAAAGTTACAGATAAGAAAACTTAACAACTACGAAAGCACCAGAATTAACAGTATCAGTTGAAAAGAGTAAATGTCAGAAAATTTAAAGCAGTATATGATGAGAGATACCCAGGAACAATTTGAAGCGCAGGTGGTCAAGAGGAAGAAAGAAAAGATGTGACGATGATGAAAATATAAGCAACAGTTACATATATGAATATTTATACATACACAGTTCATAAGCTAATTTGTAGGCACTTTACTACGTCAGCAAAACGTACCTATAGTACATAGTTTTAAAGATGAAAATTTTAAAGAGAACTGCAGAAGAAAGACGAGTATTACATATTTTAACGAGAATTCAATCTTCTTCCAACTACATAAATTAAGGAAAGCAGACAATTTCATGAAGACCATTTACTACAAATTAGTTGAAAGTTGAATCATTTTCAAAGGAGAAATATATATTTACAATGAAATTGAGCATTCGCATTTCAGGATTGTACCGTAGCAATCATTTGAGGATATTTATGAAAAGATATAATAATGCTTAATGAATTCTTTGAAGTCACACCTACATAAAAGCAGTCAGATTCTCTCACAATTCATACCTTATCTTAAATGTTTTAGATTTTCTGTAATATTTCTGATTAAGTAATTAGATTAAGTTTAGTTGTATTGTATTTATTATCAAATATTTGTCAATCCCGCAGGGGTTGACGACAGAATGTCGTAAGGAATGTATTATCTAACAAATCAACCAGTTCGAATCTTATAGCTGACACATGTGAAGATGGTATAGTCGATCAAAGGAAAATATCAATTATTGTCAGGATGTTGCAATTTGATTTTTTAATGCCCGAACTAGTTATTTTTTATTGTAAAAATTACCTGATACTGATAATTTATGTCTAAAAACCCTTCAATTAAGTTCTCACTGGAATATTTTTTTTTTTACAAAAGAATACAATCTCATATTGTAAACTAATGCATATAGAAAAATATATACTTACACAATGACTATTATGTAGTAAAACACTTTTGAGGGTAGATTTTTATATATGGTGTGTAGATTCGACGAGATGATGCAGAGAAGTAAATTGAATAAATTTGCTTAGGGAATGTGGGGTTTAGATTTAAGCTGTTTTCTTTTTCAAAAGGTCTTGTTTGCCAGTTATAGACGAGTGCATTTTGGAATAATGTGTTAATGGAGAAGATAAGATGTTAGATGGAGAAGATAAACCTAACGAAATCTGTTGGCCAGAGTAGTTTTATTAAAGAGATAAAATGTTTTTTTCTTAAAACACTTGATTACCTTCTAATGTTGCTCGCAAAATAATTTTAACAATTTTTGTTGCAAGATCGCTGCCAAGAGCTATGAGTGCAAATTCGCAGTTTCACCTGCCACAAAAATAAAGCTAGAAATTGGGGAAATCGGCCGAATGCTTCTGGAACAATTGCCGTTGAAGAAGTGACTGCATCGAAAGGCACATGGTAAGTTTTACTAAATATTTTACAGGTTGCCGAGATTATGTCGAAATTCGAGGAAAGACACTTGCTTATTTTTATTTTTATGCCATTTTAAACATAGAGAAAATTTTTGAAATAAAGTTTACCTTTTTGAAATAAAGTTTACATTTTTGAAATAAAATTTAATGTATTTTAATTAATTTGCAAGGGGGGGGGGCGGGGGTGTTGTATTATATTCCGGTTCGTACTGGTGGTAAATTAGTTGACAAATAGATATCGGAATACAGAGCAGCTTAACAACAATTAGATCAAAGTCCCTATGATGTTCGAAATTGTACTTGTAAGACTTTCACGAGAGCGTGCGAACATGCACGTAAAATTTCGACGATATCAGTTTCCTATAGATAAAACATGTACATATTTGTATGTGGGTTATCGGAACACCACTATGCAACATGCTCCTTCTGATCAACACTAACGTTGCCTGTTACCCTAAACGGGGTTAGTTCGAAAAAGGGTGACAGTCTTTGTCATCTAATAGAGCCTGAACCTCCACCCAGGCTTATTATAAAGGGAGTAGTACATTTAAAGGACACTATCAAACAACACTTACAACAATCGCTGAACAGGACGGCGTACAGACAGGCACTGAACGCCATTCACCAGTAGTCAATTAACACCTTAAAAGATTCCCCGTTAATGACGTACTCCGCGTTAAATCACTACCCATAGCAGATGCTCGAGCTTCCTCGAGACCCGTGTAATATTGGCGCAACTCAATTTATAATATTGTAGAAGGCTAAACTTCTACTTATCCAGACACAACCTCAACATATCTAATGCAGGTAATGAGGCCCTGGACGATTTTAATGTTTCCTCATCTTGGTTTTTGGTCATCTCAAGATGTGCTCATGTCTTACGTTGTATATGGGGTAAACCGTAGTAGACCCTTGTAACGTCCAAGCATTTCAAACACCTTGTCGGAGCTACTCATTCCTACTGCACGACATTGTCTGTTCGGTGAGTCGGACCAGAATTTATCGGAATACAACAGCCAGGTCATACAGGTACAACTTAGGCTTATAAGGCCATTTTGGAATATGTTTTACCAATCGCCAGTTGGATGATGTTTTATTGTGCCATGAATTCTGTCTCCCCCTCCAAAATATGACAACCTTTCCAGTGGGCAATACACAAGGAACATATAACACCATAACATCACTAAAATTAATTTTTTGATTAGCAGTCGTGCCTCGGAAGGAACTGTCAAGCCTCCTGCGATTAAAAAAAAAATATTATGTGTGATCTTTATCATTCACAATATTTGCTTATTGGAATTGATTAGTCTAGTCCCACCTTAAAATCATCAGCAATAAACAGCTGTTTTATAAATTTGTGGGAGTTTACTAAATACTTTGTTGTTGTGTTTTAAAAATTTGTTGACACTGTCAAGTTAAAAGTAATTTGGGAAAATATCGTTATAATACAATGGAGAAATTGAATGGAAAAAATCAAGTTGATTTCATTTATAATTATAAGAATTATAATGACGAAGACAGTTCTGTAAGAATAGGTATCGAGCTGCCCTTTGATGCGGAGAATGAATGCCTCGACGAATTAGTTACACGTCTTTTAAATGACATGGACCCAATGCAGCGTTATCTGGATGAAAATATATGTAATTAGCAAAGAGATATATAGGAATTTCGAAAAAAATTGTTTAATTTGCTTTATAAATGGCATGCTTAATACATACCTACAATCATATCTTTTTTAAGTAGCACTGAAAGCTGCTCTACGCCAGTTTATTCAAGAGGAAAATCAAAAATTCCTGGATAACTTCGCAGAACAACTATTGGAACAAGCGCGTCAAAATGAATTTGATTTGGAAGCGGTGATTCGAAAAACTGAGCGACACTATAAAGATGAGATAATACAATTTGCTGATCGCGTTGGACCAAGTGATGAAGATATATTTGCACAAAGTTTTCATCGGTAAGTTTGTAAAAAATCTTTTATGATTATATGGAAAATGCATAAGTGTTTGAGCATAAAATATTTATCAATAATGTGTACTCAGATTAGTGCACTCATCTTCTTTGGAGGAAATACTAAAACGGGAAGGAGCGTATGCAAAAGTTATATCAGATATAACTACTCAAATGGATCGAGAAGTGGAGACTTTAAACTCAGCACAACAACAAGAGATGGATTCAAAAATTAAACAATTGGATATAACAACTACACCGGATGTACGTTGCTATCCTCGTCAAATCAAGTTACAACTATTTTTTCTCTTCTTATAGGATATTAATAATCTGTTGGCTCAGCAATATAGCACACAAAATTATATACGCCAACGTTATGAATCCGAATTGCAAGCAAAGCGCGGACATCAACGTAATGAATATCGCAATTGGATTACCAGTCAGGTTGGCAAAATTTTTGAAAGCTCTCCCGCGACCACGCCCCTCGGCAATCGTTCATCTATGTTTATATCCCAGCAACCATCAATGGAGGAGAGTTTCACTATACATTTGGGTTCGCAACTCAAACACATGCATAATATACGCATTTTAAGTGCAGATGTAACCGATCTCTGTAGTCCCCTGCACGTGGACGAAAGGTAGAATATAAATTGTTGATTGCCTGTAAAATTTATTAAAAATTTCCTTTTTAGTTTGAATGGGCTAAATATGGCGTTGGGTCTATATTCGAGCTCTTTATGCGGCGTAGTTGTACTCACGCCGTCCATACAGGCACAAGCTAACAAGAGTATTATTAAAAATGCAAATATGTCAACGGAATTTCACTTTGATCAGGTAAAAAAATATTATCTATTAAAAATTAGTAGCCTTTAAAATTAATTTACACCTTAGATTGATGACCAGCTGGAGAAGATTGAGAAACAAATATTTACGCTCAGCGTTAATGACTCACCGACGCCAAGTATGCAAAGTTATAATAGTGCAACAAATGGTAGTGGTGTTGGTGATATATCAATGCCAAATAATAATGGTAGTGGAACCAGCAGCTCAGGTGGCTCACCTACCAAGACAGCCACAACGAAATTAAAGACTGGTGATTTTTTTATAACCAAACACTCGAATCTCTCACAATCGCACGTTATTTTTCACCTCATTTCTGATGAACCCATTAATAGTCCCAGTGAGATTAATTCCCGTCATCCGGTCATACTGGGTTTGCGGAATATTTTGAAAACAGCAAGTCGCCATGATGTTACAACACTTACAATACCCGCATTGCTACGTCATGAAATGTCCGAGGACATGACGGTGCAATGGTGTATGCGGCGTGCTGAGTTGGTTTTTAAATGCGCCAAGGGGTTTATGATTGAATCGGCATCGTGGGGTGGCGCGGAATTGAGGTAAATATGAAATTGTGGAAATATTTATAGGAAATTACATAACGAAGATATTTATTTCGTACAGCACATTACAATTGCTATTGCCACATGATATCTCAGAGGAACTATTTACAACATTAGCAGGCATGGTGCCGAATGTATTTCGCGTTGCCAATCCTAAGATACTCGTTGATAGTAATAAGTGAAATGTATAGGTTTACCAGGAACGTAATCTTCTTGTTGAGTCAAAATAAAAATGTATTGTTATTCTCAAAAAAATTCCATTATTTAATGATATTTGAATAAAATTAAAAAATATTTATTTTATGTAATATAAAAGTGTTTAAAATTGATTAAATTAGTTAAGCTGGAACTTAAGCACTAATTGCTCGATTACCACAACTAGCTGTACCTAAATGATAATATATGTAAATATCAAATACCGGCGTCAATACAAATGCAAATGAATAATATATACTTACTACTTTGCAGCCATACATCATACAATACGCACAAGTTTCTTTTTCAATTTTTCATATAATCGTAAATATGTATTTATTTTTAATTTAATCAAACTCTAATATTTTTGTGTACAGTTTTTATATATTTCTTTTTTTTTGGTTTTGTTTTATTTATTTGCTGCACTTTTCTCAACATGTAAATTTTGTTTGAAACTAACATTTCAAAACGTGTCACACAACTCACACATAGAATTGTAAAATTTCCTGTATTTTCTTACGTCACAAATACCGAATATATTTAAATTAAACACTAGAACTATTTAAAAGTTCGTTATGACTTCATCATCACCTGTATAAGATCCATTGTAACCTTCTACAAATAGACTCTAATTATGTAAACGCATACATATATAAATATGTATACATATATATAGATGTATATACATATGTATGTACGCATGCATGGTGTTAAACTTTTTTAAATGTCTTTTTTTTTCAATCAAATTTCCTCTTTTAAACATATGTGTGTATGTAGTATGTAGGTAATATGATATTAAATGTTAACAATATTTATGACTTTCGTAATCCCTATTGCGTATCATTAATAAATCGTGTATTTTCCAATAGCTCCACTATTTTTTTTATTTATTTATAATATTATGTAAATATATGTATGTATACACAAATGTATTATGTGTTGCGCATGAGTGGCCCTTACGCTAGTAATATCATCAGAAAATATCAGTTTTTATTATTACTTCAGCATTTACATATAAGAAAATAGAAAATTATATGCGGAATATCTATGTGTGTATGTGTGTTCAACTAGTATATGCAATACTATTTGGTAAAAGCACACATACTGTTTCAATGGTTGTTGTTTTAGTTATAAAGCGCTTGTAGATTAATATCTGTTTTATTTTTTTTACCCGTTTCGGAAAATGTGTTTTTCAAAAAATATGCTTTTATGTATGTATGTATTAATTAGTTGGTTACATTTGTCTTTTACTGTACATCTGCCTCTTTTTTTGTAAGGCGTGAGTGGAAAGAGATCAAACTAGAAATGCAAACTTAAACATGATTGTATCATCATTATCATTATCGAATGTAGAGTATATATGCATATGTGTAGGTTTGATAGTTTATTAACCAAAAAATGTATTCTTTGTAAAGGAAATCGCATTGAAGTGTTTTTTTTTTTTCTTGTGATATTCCATGCCATTTCCTTTAATTTGAAAAAAAAATATCTAAATGAGCTTTGATATCTCTTAATCCTTCTACTAGACTTAATTCTCTTCACTTCAATCGATTGGTAGTCATGTCTGGTCACATTGTAAGTGGTTTCACTATTCCATCTGCTGTTGGTGAAGGCTAGCCTTAATAGATGGGTTATGATTATTGCCTATCTGGCCAGAAGCTCCCAGTGATGTTCACATGACCTGACCAGGCAACAAATCTACGGATGTTTCGAAAACGGGCGAGATAATCCAAAAATCTGAGTTTTCAAAAGACGTGCAAAAGATTTTAATACTTTTCCAAATTATTTATAACATGTATACAATAGTTTAGCTTCTAGAATTTTTGTATCATGCATACAGTTAAGGGGATTAGCTAAAGTTCAGTCAGTTGGTGACTTTTAATTTGTTTTTGTTAAATCTAAAAATACCAAATCTCTTGCAATTACTTTATTAGTCTTCCTTTTGAATTTTAGAATGATCGGCTAAAATGGCGGACGAGCGCCGAGAAGGTCGATCAAAATCTTCCATTGATGACGTGTAGTTCAAAATTGACGAAGACTTATGATTGACACAAGAAATGATTACTAATGAATGCGGCTTGAATACCATGGCTGTATCGCGAATATTAAGTGATCATCTGGGATACACGAAGAAATCTGCTCGATGGCTGCTACGAGTTTTAAATGAAGTTCAAAAAGAAAGCTCGACTGCATTTTGCTCAATTTTTCCTAAAGGAATTCGAAAATCGTTAGTCTAACAACTTTAGTAATGTCGTTACTGGTGACGAATTTAGGTTCCATAAGTACGATCCAGAAACCAAACGCCAATCCATGGTATGGAGCTCAATATAAGCAAACCCACAGGTAAAATCCAAGTTAAAAAAATAAACAGCAAAAGTAAAACTTCATCCGAACTAAAACCGTAGCTGCTATTACAATGGAAAATGGTCAGGGGTAACTGCAAAATGGTACACCGAAGAGTGATTACCATAATTTAAAAAAAAATCGTTGGAAAGCAGGAAGGAAGAGCATTTGCGGCGCTACTTCTTACATCATGACGACGCGCCGTCCCACACTGCTGAAATAATAAGTAATTTTATTGCGATCTCTGGGATCGGAGAAATACGTCCAGCACCATATTCCCCGAATATAGCAGCGTATGATTTCTGGTTGTTTCCAAAAATCAANAGCATTTGCGGCACTACTTCTTACATCATGACGACGCGCCGTCCCACACTGCTGAAATAATAAGTAATTTTATTGCGATCTCTGGGATCGGAGAAATAAGTGTCATTTCTGGTTGTTTCCAAAAATAAAAAAAAAAATATTTAAAAGGAAACGTCTTTAATAGCAACGAGGAAATAATTTATGCAGTTAATGTTCGGGAGCCGTGGTTGGCATTGCATACTGCCATCCTGGTGTTGTAATAACATCGAAAAAGTTCCAAAAAATCAATTTAAATAAAAAATTGAACTAAATTTTTTAATTGCGGTAGCCCCTCGGCAGGGGATGTCAACCGCTCCGATTGTATTTCAGACATGCAAATCAAAGCTCCTCATAAAAAAACCATCAGCCGCTCGGAGGTGGCTTAGTATAAACTGTATGTCCCTCCACTTGTTGGAAAAACATCAAGTTGCAAAATAAAAAATATATACATATGTATATTTATAATGCTGAACTTGATAAACTTAAAATCAAGATTTTGAAGACTGGTTTCATTCATATAGGCCTAAGAAATGCATTGAAATTAATTTCATTTGTAGATTTTGTAAAGAAGATAAAAATGGACACAGATTACGAATAAATACAAAAATAATTTTTTTTTCTGGTCAACTTACCCAACTGTTGTTAATACTTTCGTATGTACAAATATGTATACATATGTATGATTTTGAAAATTGTGTCCTATTCAAATGTGTATGTACATGATGTAAAACTGTTAATTAACAAAAGGTTGCTGTGTACTTTACTGATATTCGATACATGTAAGCTTTGATGTTTATATCGGTTGAAATTTATTGTTGCTTTTATTTTTATTTTATTTTTTCAAGATATTCATCTAAACTAAGAAAAGGTTTTAAAGTATTCAACTTTAACATATTTAAACTAAATTATACAGAACTAAGTGACAGTGCTTTCATTTCTTATAAATCTTGTATATGAATTTATGTACATAAGTATGTATGTATTTCTTATATAATTGTATAATTTATGTCTGTAAGTATATTCGTGTATTGCTTTAAAAGAGAAATTCAGTTGTAGTTTCGTAGGCCTCTATATTCCTTATAAATTTTTTAAATTAATTTCAATATTTTTTCTTTTTAGTTCACCAAAATTTCTGTATGTCTGCATGCAACCGTGCATTTTTAATGATTTCGTAATTTCTAGCAATTTTAAATTTTACTTATTTATTTTAATTTTTCCATAAATATTTTCGAATAGTACATTCAGTTGTCATAATTTTTATGTGCAATTCTACCACTAAATATTTTCCATTCGCAGTGCTTGATGTCTTATTATGATTTGTTAAATTGTGTGTGTATGTTTTTACTTTCAAATTTAATTGTAAACTACATATATATATGTATGTGTATAATTATTACGATTTGCATGCATCAATAGATATTTATTTACTTTAATTTAGAAATTTACTTTAAATTGAAATTAAAGTTAGAATACGCACTTACATATACATATAATATATAATATAGCTAAGTAATTCATCATTAATTTATAAATTATATTTCAGTAAGAAATGTTTATAATATAAATGTATGTATTATTAAGAGAAATTAAATTATAAATAAATTATATAATAACTTCATCAATTTAAATATTCAATTATCACAAATAAAATCATAATCATAAAGGAAATACATGTATTTATGAGTAATACAATACATACATATTCAATGACTAAATTAATCGCAAATTTCAATCTCTATACTCGTACTTCTCTCATATCTCTCCAGTGTGTAATATATTATAAAATAATTCATTATAATACAGTTAACTGTACTTCAAATTCCCCACACATATTAATTGCAATATCTATGTACTATATATACATCTTTGTATATGTTTTCAGGAGCATATTTATATATATGTAATTATGTATATTGAAATTTCCCGAATTTTACATTTGACTCTCCTTGCGCCATTGAAACGTGCCCGATTTTACTCCGATGCTTGATGAACCCTGATTACTATTTGACGAGAGTATATTGTTGGTGCGTCGTATTAGCTGTGCTGCAGAATCGAAACGGCTACGTATTAGACGCATTGCTGGATTTGTTGTTATGCCGCTGCGTTTGCTTTTGCTGCAAGTAAGAGAGGAGAATATTTATTGGGTGTTTTAAATAATAAAGATACATATATACATATATACATTGTATGTATTTAGCTGTAGAAATGTGAATTTATTTTGAAAACTAATTTATATGTAGGGATAAAGTCAATGAGTTTTTAAATTTTCTTTGATATTGATACAGTTAATATGAGGCCTAGTAAAGAAGCTGCATTGTCAGTTTAGGAGAGTCCATTTAAGATGGCTGTCAGAGAGGTGATTAATGTTGTGTGGAACATAACTGCTTACTGCTCATAAGTTAGATATATAAGGGCCGAGTCTGGTCTGCTGCAATATTCAGAACTTAATTCCGGTAAGTCGGTTGTTTTTGTATCAGTTTGCCCAACTCAATCTAAAAGTAGGAAAAGCACGCCTAAAACGTTGTGGTCATCGAGCGGGAGCTCTATAGAACAAATTGCTTCGATGGACTCACACTGAAGAGAGAGGAATGTCATTGGAATGGGTTTTAGTGGGTAGGTTGTGGTAGTGACTAACCAGCTGTAGCGTCGTGCTTCAACTCATTGCAAACATAACATACGTTAATTATTAAGTCTGGCTGGGTAGAAGGCAGCTTGAGCTCTTCATATCCCCATGGAAGATTGTTGGCTTTCTAGCACGTCACTCATGGGAATAATGTTAAAAAATTTATGGTAAGATTTTCTGTGAATGACGTTTGGAGCCTGTCGATAAGCCGTGTTGTTGCAGCGGCTTACCAAACCCCGCTAAGGAACAGGCTAGTCAGTTTAAATCATCGAGGTTATCTAACGGGCTGTTTCGACGGATTCGGACCGGAAGGAGTGTGGAGGTTAGATGTGTAGGTTTTAGGCGGCATGCTAAGAGGTAGTTAGTGCCGTGCGGGCACTCCTTATATGCGGAACATACGTTAGGTATGTCGGGTATGTCCATGCACCGGAGTTGACACGGTCTTTGTCCATCCAAGGGCTATCACCCTTTCGGCGACCTAACCTCGTTTAAGTTAGCAGGTTACATTAGTCGGTAAGCCGTCCAGTCCAACGGCTCTGTTCTGTGGAGTCATTTAGGTCAAGTGCGGCCTTCATGATGGGCCTCTCCGTTGGTTCGGCTTTCAATAAATGGCCTGTTGGTTCGTGTTAGCAGTATCTGCTAGGGTTAGCATAAGACTATGCTCCTAACTGGGTTCATTGATGTTTCAATGTGTATGTGGTGCATATTTGACATCAGGAGGTTCATCGTTACGGTCCTTCGAGAGATGTTCTGACGGGCTAGGTTTTGGTGTCTAAATCATTACTGCGTAATTAATGACTAGACGACCAGTTACCTTGTAAGTTTCTTAGCCCAAGTACTGTTCGCTAGCTTTTTGAGGCTTTTGATGCAGTTTTGTTCCCGGAGTCAAAGTAGGCAGGCTATCAAATTTGACTCTCAGTAACTTGAGGTTGTATATTGTCGGAATTTCGGCTTAATCAGCTTTCACATTCACTTCGAGTCGATACTCCTTCGTCTAGCTGGTGAAATGAGTAATTTTCCTGCAGTGGAGAAGTGGGCCAGACTGCAGTTTATCTTAGAGCAAATATCCTGGCGAAACGCCAATATCGCCGTCACCATAGACAACATCAGACTCTTCAGCGGCTTGAAATGTTGTTTAAAGCAGAGGAACATAGAGGAACGCTTGGAACTATTACAATTTTCAACGTTCCACTAAATTCTTGTAGGGCAGCGCAGATAGTAGACATACCGAACCGTTCCTTGCATTAAGCAAAAGAGAACCTAGCATTCTTATGGGTGTATTTATGGAGCATCAGCACCTGAGATATCATCTCCATAAGCTAGGTAAGGTGGAATCGGCGGTGTGCGACCTTCAGCCGATTGATATGTAACATGTTTCAGTACGTTACCAGCTCCAACCTCACAGGGGTTGGCAAGCACGATTGAATCAAGCGAACTTTTCGCTAACACTTAGTTGGAATACACGTGGGAGCACAATGAGCCTGCTCAATAGCTTCGGTGCTCCCGCTTGCGTTTAGGTCAGTTAGAGCTGCTCAGTCTCGCAGTCTCTCATCTGAAGTAATCTCCCCACAAAAATATACATATCTAGACAGAGTTTTTATTACTTAAAATTTTTCGCGTTAGAAGCTTTACCTTGACGAACTCGGCTGAGTATCCTTTAAATTACCCAAAATTATACGCATATGTGTGTCGCGCGCAAAATGGTTATCTGGCAACACTGACTTCCCTCCAGAACTGCCACCGTTAGTGTGATTAGCGCCGGAATTACCAGTTGCACCGCCAATTTCATCGAAAGCATTTAATGAGGGTAGCTGACCGGGTGAACTTAGCTCACTGCTAGGTGAATGGGGTGGTGTAGCGTAGAGTGGTGACATACACTCCATATCGTATAAATCGGCTTCGTTAGCACCGATACCAGAAACTAGAAAAAAGTAGAAATATCAATTTGTTTAAATTTTTTACTTTACAAGAGTAAACTCTGATGTCCACATACCAAATTGATGCTCATTGAGATCGGGCAGCAGTTGAGAGTGTCGCTGTGAGTGATGCGATTTCGATTGCTGTTGCATGCCACCAGTAGCGGCGGCAGATGTCGATGCAGCGCCATGTTTCGAACTGATGATGGGCGCATTTTGTACGAATGGATTATTTCGCGAATTCAGTTTCGTTTGACGTTGCAGTTGCTGTGTGAATGTGAGCGGCGCTTGCTGTTAGGGAAAATAAAAGAAAGAAATAAATAAAGTTTTTTATTAATCAAAAACCTTTTTTTAATACAACTTACATCATTGCTGCTGCCTGTCGATTGACTAGAGATAACACTTTTTCGTTTATGCAAACTGCTCGTGTCCGATTGCATAGTGTTCTGATAGAAGTTATTCGAGCTATGTGTCGATGTGGATGCATTCAGTATGTTTGATGGCACTTGCATGCTATTGTTATTGTTCACCGTAGCTGTAGTGGCCGCTGAGCAAACCGATGGTGCGGAAGCATGTGGTGGATATGCTGGTGCGCCTAGCACGAGACTTTGGTGAGCAGGTAACGCTGGTGGTTGGTCAGGTGAGCGCAACATATTCGGGTGGAATTTTGCTGCTTCGACTAGATTATTGGCATCACCTATTGGATGGAGGTATTGGGAAAATTGTAAGTTTAAAAAGAAATTGTGATTGAAAGAAGCAAAAAATATTTCTTACTTTTTGCGAAATTTTCAAAAATCTTCAGTATGTTTGTGCGGTTCGATTTGGAGGCCAATTTAATGGGCGTACGTCCACAATGATCCGATTTGTATGGATTGGCGCCATACTTCAATAAAGCAATGACACATTTCTCGTGTCCCTCCTGCGCTGAGATACCCAATGCTGTAGCGCCCTGTTTGCATGCATGATCCGCTATAGCGCCAAAGTAAAGCAGTATACTCATGACATCATGATTGCCTTGCCAAGCGCACGAATGCAGTGGTGTGCGTGCCTCCAAGTCCATAGCGTTCACATCCGCATTACCTAAAAGAATACGAACCAATAAAGAATAATTAAAAACTCTTCCTCTTGCGCTAAACTCACACCCACTCACCCATTGTGATCAGCATCTTCACCATTTCGGCATGCCCCTGCCACGCGGCTACATGCAACGCGGTTCGTCCCTCACTATCTGGTATATTCACATCGACATTTGTAACTTCCAGCAGGTACTTAACTATATCCAGTTTATTCTCGAGTGCGAGTATATAAAGCGTGGTGCGCGAGTCCGCATCCTTGGCGTTCACGTCGCAACAGAATTTCAAAAGATATTGCAATGTTTCGAGATGTCCTTCCAAGCAGGCTAAACGGAATGCTGTTTTGCCATCGTGTGCCTTTTGATCGACGAATGTGGGATGTATTTCGAGTAGCACCTGCACACATTTGGTGCGACCCTCTTGTGCCGCGAGGTGAAGCGCAGTTTTTCCCTCATTGTCGCACTCATCTATTTTGGCGCCCGACTCTAGCAGCTGCAGTGATACTTCATGGAAGCCTTCGAAAGCGGCATAGTGCAAAGGTGTCCAGCCGGCATTATCGCGATGAGTTTCGTCTAGTCCGCGATCGAGTAACTGTCGCACAGTCTCCACATTACCCTGTGCTGACGCAATACTAAGTACGGTACGTCCTTCAGAGTCCATGCAATCAATGCCGCAACCCCAGAAAAGCAACAATTTGACAACGTTTGCATGACCAGCAGTACAGGCGGCCCACAGGGGTGTGCGACCCATGAAATCTGCCAAATCAGGATCAGCGCCATTCTCCAACAGTAATTCACACACTTCGGCATTACCTTCAAAAGAACTCACCAGTAGCGGCGACATGCCGTCATTGTCCAATTGATCAGTGTTGGCACCGTATTCCAATAGAGTAGATATCACCTTGCTATAGCCCGATGAGCCGCATAGTGCTGCAACGCAAAGCGCACTACGTCCATCAAGATCTAAATGATTAACGTTGGCGCCATTTTCAAGCAAAATTTCAACAATATCATAATGACCCATATAAGAGGCGGCGATCAGTGATGTGCGACCTTGTCTATCGACAGAGTTGACGTCAGCACCAGATTCGATAAGAATTTTCAATATATCTTCATGTCCACTCCAAGCGGCTGCGCGCAACGCAGTTCTACCCTCCTTATCGGCTAAATCAATTTTGCACGCCGGATGTAGGATGAGTAATTTTACAACTTCCGTGTGACCACCCCAAGAGGCGGAACGCAATGGTGTCCAACCGTCACGGTCGGCATGATTAACATCCACACGCTTCATGCGTCCAGTGCCATCATTGCATGGCTGCGAGAAACTCAATAGTAATTTAACAACCTCCAAATGTCCATTCCGTGCGGCGATATTCAAAGCTGTCTGTCCATTGTAGTCTTCAATTTCGAGATCGATGGGCCCTTTGCAGGCATTTAGTGCGCGCTCGAGCAGCTGATGATTGCCATCATTGGCTAGAATGTGTATTAGTGCTTTACCTTTGTGCAACTCAATGCGATTGGAGTCGGATAGCTGATGCAGCGTACTAGATGCATTCTCATCTTGACTCTCGTGATGTGGCTCGCTCTTCTCCGATGGACTCGTGGGTCGTTGTGTCTCCAATATGCACGATTTTTCGCTTGAGATCAGGAGATCAGCCAATTCAAAGTCTATGTTTTGCGATTTTTCTGATAGTTCAGGAGACATCAGCGACGATTCGCAGGAGTTCTGAAGGGAGTAAAGTGAAAAATGTATATTACTGAGGAGCAATGTAGTAGTGAAAGAGTAGATTTCTAAAACAAACTGTTGAATTTTTTCTAGACACAGCCCCTTAGATCAGATAAATAGGACAGCATTGAGTATAGTCTGAACTCCTCCCAAAAAAGTTAAAGTTAACCTTCCCTTTCAGCGCTGCTTGTCAATGGTTTAAATCTCGTCACAAGGGGTTTCCATTCATTTTTGTCGATCGGAGTTGATTGGTGGTCTGTAGTAACGGTTTTCCGAAATCGCGACCATGTCTCCAATGTACAAGATGTAACGAGTACCTAATATCTACTCAGATCACTATCCCAGATAAGCACTCGCTTCTGTGTATCAAAGAAAGCCATTCAACAACCACAAGGAAGGTTTGACGTGGAAAAGTTGCAATAACAACAGACTGCCGAACAGTTTTTTACTCGACTTGCACACGTGTGCCAGAAAAAAACCGGTACGATGCGTAATGTAGAGCTGGAGCGGTTTCAAGACCGGATCAATCTAGGGACCTGATGTTTAGGGCATATTACAAAACCCCAATCCATGACAACAATGCCGGATTAAAGAACAACAAAGCGGCTGGAGACGATGGCTTATCTGCTGGGCTATTTAAACATGGTGAAGAGCTGATAAGGTGCATGCATCAGCTTTTTTGAAGAATAAAGTTCTGTCGAGCATATTGCATGAAAAGCTAATGCCCACCGTCAACAAGCTGATTGAACCTGGTCAGTGTGGCTTTAGAACTGGTAAGTTCACCATTTTAAAGCTGCCTTTGATAGAACAGCCGACTCTACGCTTATATGCCAGAATTTGGTATTGCTTCATTTGAGTAAACTGACGTTAGACAATTAGTACTGCCAATGACAAAGAAAAAAGCGAGTGTGTCTGGTAGTGAACGAGGATTAGACGACAAGTCTCCTGACAGCCGACGCAGAATAAGTCTTATCGACAGGGGCAATTTCTTCAGGTCACTCCTCATTCACGTTCTACTATAAGGTGCAGAAGCGTGGTTGATGTCAACATCCGATGAGGCGGCCCTCATAGTTCCGTGAGAAAAGTATTACGAACGTTTTATGCGCATTGGCTACGTTGAATATCACAGACGATGGAACGATGAACTGTACAAGCCCTTCGGTGACATTGATATAGTTTAGCGAATGAAGAGACAGCAGCTACGCTGGCTAGGCCATGTCATCCGTATAAATGAAAGCTAACAAGCTTTGAAAGTATTCGATGCAGTACCCGTTGGTGGAAGCAGAGCAGGAAGAAGTTGTTTATTCCGTTGGAATGATTAAGTAGAGAGACACCTGGCTTCATTTGGTATTTCCATTTGGCGCTCAATATTTAAAAGAAGAAACAAAAGGCGCGGTATTGTAATTCGGCCATAATCACGGACATAAGTCGTGCCTACGCTAATGTATTTATAGGGGACAATCTCAGAGAGCAATAGGTTGCTATAAGAGGTATTTTGAACGTAGCTAGAGACCCATAACAAATGTTGGATAATACTATTTTCGAGAGCATGGATTTTTTTCCTTATTTTCTCTACTTATATGATTAAAATAAGTTTAAGTTTTTGATGTCCCAAAAATAAATATAATTTTTTAAATATTTTTTTTCTCAAACCCTCCCATCCACTTACCTGTGCTTCGGCATTGTTGATGCCTGTCTCGATCAGCAACTTCAATATCTTCGCATCCGTTGGTAGGCTTGGTTTGAAGAAATCACACAAAAATTGCGAGAACTCGTCACTCAATTCGCTGCTGAGGAATTTCTCTATCATATTGCGAGTTTTGGGCAGAAAGTTGGGATCGTGTTTGAAATCATTCTCGCACTGCGAACAACAATTTAAATGATTCGTGTAGAACGCATCATTTAAATTGAGACGTGACTCGAGTAACATGAGTATAATATCCAAATTTACATTACGACTGGTGAGATATTCACCAGACTTGATGAGATGATAAACGAACTTACGCACATTGTTAGCGCACAATGTATCGGCGACGAGCAAGTAATACATGGAGACCATAACATGACCTTCATTGACGTCACAAATGAACTTCTTGGTGGCAAACTTCACATCGACCAGCCAATCGGAGAAGGAGTTGTGGAAGATCTTCAAACGCTGCTGATCAGCATCGTAAGCGACAATATTCTTCATGATTTGTAAGCGTTTCTCAAATTCTTCTGTGTCAATCGCATAGTTATGTGTACGCAGACAATTGAAGAGGAAGAGCTTATCCACATAACCGGATGAAGCAAGCAATACATTAAGCAGTGGTCTAATTTTCATATACTGCTTTTTATTGAATGACTTCTGGCAAATGTACAAATATAAACCGTTGAGTGTGCACGGTATCAATTTGATCTCACGAAAACTGAAGAAATTCTCTTTGATGCCATTCAAGACTTTCTCCAAATAGAGTATGCAACCATTCGATTTGATATACAACTGATGTAATGATTCTATAATCTCTTTTGTAAGCATAATACTATCTTTAAAGTCCGAATTGAGTCTGTTTATGATATACTCTTGCACATCCTTCACGACGTGTGACTTTCGCAGATCATCCAAAGTGATCTTCTTGAAACCAGTAAACATACGTGTAATCTGTTTGGTCTGTTTCTTAGTGGTGCACACAAGAAACAGCCATTTGGGGAAGAGATGTATGTGGTTGGACAACAGCTCGGCGACATTCCGACTCTTATGGTTTGTTGTTGTACCACGACCGCCCTTTAGTGTGGTAATCAAGTTGCCCTCATTGATGTAGTTCTCGTCGATGGAATCAATCAATAGCAAGAGCGCAGTTTTGGGTGGCGTAAGCTCCAGTAATGGAAAGAGTAGCGCCTTCTTGAAGCATTCGTCTGGGTTCTTTTCGATGTTGTCAACACTCAAACACTCCAGTATTTCAGGATTGGATATTAATAGCTCGTAGTAGCCGTCGGCAATTACCGTGCGACAACTTTTCGGTTTAGGTAAAGGTGGCGGTAACGTATTCGTATTTGTGCCTGCGCCGCTGGGATGCACATAGTTGTCCGTGGATTCGCCGCTTCTGCCCTGTTCAAAATCTATTTGGTTCTCGCAGTTTTCTTTGTCTTCCTCGTTGGCGCACTCTTTTTCAAAAGCGTTCTCATATTCCTCGAGATTTTTATCTGCCTCCGGTTTGTCTTCGTTGTCGTCTTCATTGTCCGATTTCTCTTTCGGCTCATCGTTGCCTTTATTCCCGTCCGTATTGCCTTCATTTATGGCTGCTTCGATTTCGTTCTTAAGTTCATCGCTTAACATGTCGGCAATGTCTTCACCACCGCCCTGTTGTATAGTGGTATTAGCGTTATTGGCTGTTATGGCGGTGGCGACCTTTACTGGCGAGGCAATGGCGCTTGTGCGACCAAGCTTGACTGGAATCTTAGATTTTTTGCCCGGGCTACACTTACTCGAAGTAGATGGCGAGCTTTTCTCTTTGTCTGCCTCGTTTCGCTTCTCCTTTTCGGTATCGTTGTCTTTGTCTTCGTTGCGTTCTTTGGTGTTACCTTTGTTGCCCGTTGCGGGCGGATGTGTACCGTAATTTTTATATTTTTGTTCATCGTTCACGATAGCGCGCTCCTCGGCTGGTGTTGGTTCAGATTTTTGACGCATAATGCATACATTACCGGACTTCTTATTGCTCGTCGATGTACGTCGTTGTTGAAATTGTTCCGGTTTGTCGGAGTCACAATCGCTGGCACCACGTCGGAGCTCAGCAATTAGTATGTCTTCAACGTTTTCGTTTAACGTTATATTGTTCATGGCTTCATCGAGTTTCGATTCCTGTTGCTGCGCCTCCTCTTGCAGAAAGGAGAAGCCTTCGTCGATCACGCGCTGGCATTCGTCTTTGGTGATCAGCGAGGAATGACTGAGTATTTGCAGCACTATTTTACGCATGAATAGCGAGAGACTGTGACACTCGGGGTTCTGCGACTCGATTAAGTAGCAGGCTAGTAGTTTTCGGTTAAGTATGCCTTTTGTGCCAGAATTGCCATTCATTATTGCCTGACAGATGGATGTTTTGCCCGAACCATTAGAGCCCAGCACGAGACAACCGTTGTACGTTGAGCTGGATATAGCTGCAGCTTTGGCGCGTGCCGCCATAAAACCACTAACAGCTTCAGTCTTACCGGCTGCACCAGCACTAAGCAAACCCGGCATATTCTTCTTGCCGGCCGTGCGTTGCTCCAAGCATAACGCTATCTTCTTAAGCACCCATTCCCGGTGTATGTATACGGGTAAGCCATGTCGTGCAGTTAACGTCTGACTTTGCGACTCACTTGTCGTCGACACAATACCATTCACTTCTTTATCAGGCGAACGCTTCTTCTGCATTAGCACTTCCAAATTATCAGCAGTTTCGGTCAGCACCGACTCGCTTGTGTCCGCAGTAGTACTTAAGCTACGATCCTCCATAAGATCGGCGTTAGCACCGCCATTGTTGCGCGCCGCCTCGATTGGGAAATTCTGTTGCATCAAATTGGCAAAGTGCTCCTCACGTGCCAAATTTGAAAAACTGGCATTGGGACAATCGCGTCCGGATACCTCCAATTTCTTCTGCAGCTGTGTAGTGTCTTTGAGGAAATTAAGTATGCGTCGATCCTCCAACTGATGACTGGGTGTGCTGGAGTTGGGCAATGGTGGCAATGAGGCAGGTTGATGCTGATAATGCGAACCGCCAACCAAAGCGCTGGACGAGCAACCATCCAAAGCTGTGTCATCATCGAGATCGGTTATGGGCACTGCATTGCCATTGCGACTACACAAGCGCGTCAGTTCTTTCGAATTCATTTGTTTATACTCCAATAGATTGGACAACTTGGCGTCGTGTGTATCGTGATTGCTGCCAGCCGTATGCGCACGCACGCCAGAACTATTGAAACGTAAGCGCTCACCACTTTTGTAGCGATCTGATTTGCGTAATGGCGTGGCGTAGAGCATCTCTTTAGGCATATTGCTGGCGGCATAGTGTTTATTGTTCGACTGCTGCTGTTGCAGCGACTGCGGTGAGGATTGCTGATGCTGCTGCTTATTGCTTGTTAAACCACTTGTATTTGGATTGGGATTCGAGTTGGCCGCATTCTGGTTGCTAATGTTGTTAAGTAATAACTGTTGTGAGAGCGGATTGTTGACAACGGCTGCCGCGACTGCGTTATTGGTGTTCGATTGTACAGTCTTCTGTTGTTGTATCTTACGTACGGCATCATTGTACATAGCCTGACAGGGTAGATTTTCGTAGATGTCATTGCGAAGGTTATCATTATCGGGATGTTTCGACATTTTCGTGTGCGCGCAAGGTGTTAGTGGTTAGTTGGTTGTCTTCAGTTTTCACAATACAGGAAATTCAATGAGGCATTTTAATGTTGGTGAGAACATGCATCCTTCTCGCGTTGAGCGCACTTTCCTTGCATTACACTTCTATACAGTTTCTGTTATCTAAAATGAGAAAAGAGTGAAAAAGAGAGGATTTTAGATATTTTTTTCAAATCATTCAAAATTTTTGCAAAATACTATTAAATGTTTGTTATCTATTGGGAGTAAAATTTAATCCGGTGCATTCCTTTGCGTACAAAAAATATTTTTTAGTGGAGACTACTACTGCCATCCCTCTGATAATTTTTGCAAAAGATCTCATAAAAAGGTACTCCAATTATTGTGCCATTCTTCGGTTTCTTCAAAAGACCCGAGCCGGTGAGCCCCTGAATCGTTTTGCGTCAGTCAAAAAAGCCAGTAAACGGAAGGAGTAAGGTCTGCAGAATACGGAGGGTGAGGTAAGACCTTCCATTTCTGTGTTTTCAGGTAGTTTTTGGCCGTTACAGCCAAGCTGTGTCATGCCTCACGGTCGTTTTTTACGCAATGTACAACAACGTTTCGAATCATTGGTTTCGACCGGTCATGGTAGAATTCTTAATTTTCAAACTTTTCGAGTTAGTCAGTATGTTTTTGCTTTCGATTTGAACGCTTCAACTCTATCTTTCCTTATATCCTAACTGGAATTGTAAATTCTCTATGTTCTCTCTGTTATTCATCTTGTGTTTGGCGCAAATTGGAGATACCAAGTTCAGCGAGGTCCTTCTCAACATGGTCTTTCCAACGGAGTGGAGGCCTTCCACTTTCACTGCTTCCACCGGCGGGTACTGCATCGAAAACTTTCCCTGAACTATATATGTCAATGTCACCGTATATCTCATAAAGCTCATCATTCCATCGGCTGCGGTAAACGCCGTCCCAACGCCAACCCATCAGAAGTTGTCATCATCTGTGCCTCCGTCCCTTATAGAGGACGGGTACGATAATCGACTTGTAGACTTTGGTTTTCGTTTGCTTTTCAATTGCCTACTCAGACCAAAGTAGCTGATGTTGGCAAGATTGACTCTGCTTTGAAATTCCAGGCTAACATTGTTGTTGGTGTTAATAATGATTCCAAGATAGAGGAAGTTACGACTTCAATGTTATGACTATCAACAGTGACGTGGGAGCCAAATCGAGAATTTGTTAACAGAAGATATTTCGCCTTGCCCTCATTTACTATCAAACTCATATCCTTCGCTTCCTTATTCAGTCTGGAACTCACTGTGCGGTTGTTGACGCCAATAATATATCAATATCATCGTCGCTTGATTCAAGACCGTGACCCGCTCGCAGCCGCACTTCTGGTGAACAGAGGCTGCAAATAGACTTCGGAGGACCCTTAAACCGTATAAGTCGGAGTAGCTCCGCTGAAGCTTCCACTCTTTTTGCCGGGACCCAGAGACTCAAGGCTCCATACGGATTGGCTATCGCATTTTGCACAAGAGTCGCTCACGTTTCCAGGGTGCGCTACGTGGATCCAAGAGTATGAATTGAGTATAGCCCCGCGGGTGTAATTGCATACCAAGAAGCTTGACTATGCCCTATTACACTTCTCTCTGTTAATACACCCTCAAAATAAATAACGCTCAAAACTTTTGGCATGAATGTGAATTTGTACTCGTAACTTTTCCTTCAGGTGGTTGTGTATGCGAGTAGGAAAAAAATTTCCTCTTTTTAAGTTCAAATTCAACTGTTAGTGTGTAAGTGAATATGTCAGAATCGCTTTTTAGCGGATAATGTTTGATAAATTACCGTAATGTATAAGCCAGACGTAAAATCTTTTGATTGCGCACCAGACCGGCAACCAAAAGAGATGAACTCCAAGAGAGTTTAAGCCAACTTAAGCAACAATAAAAAATTACATTAAATAGTGCATGCATTTATTATATACATATGTATCTTTATAAAGGGTGTTCTCGGTACACTTGTTTGGATGCTGGCGTTGGCACAAGTGTGCTATATCTGAGGGGGACTACTTTGAAGATAGAATATATATAATAAATAGTTTTTTTTTCAGAAAATGTAAATTTTGTTTATATCTTTTAATTCATATCGCACTTCAAATATCGTATCGAATTTACAGGTGAATGTAGTTAGGTTACGTATACGCCCAGCTGTACTAATAACACTATAAAAAACATATAGATGAAATATAATGAAAACTAGAACGTAGAGCTGTCTCCGTACTTTCCGAAGTCTTTATACCACATAAAATTTATGGTATTTCATCTTAGGATAAAATATTAATACTCCATGTAGATTGCTCTGCTAAAGGTCTGGACTTGATACTTTACTTTGTTCAGCCACTTGATAAATTTGTATGGATCTTCCCAATTGCAGAATTACAAAGCAGCACCAGATGTTACAGCCATTTGATCCTGTTTCTTCAACAGATCGTGGTTTTACGGTGTCGCTCACAATCTGGAAACGCAGTTCCACTGATTGCTGTACATATCTCAGCATTCCTTTCATGACATCAGACGTCTTATTGCAATTTCCATGAGCATCTTGTTTCCGATGTTCATTCTGGATCGGGAGTGCTTGCTTACGGTTGATCCTTCCCGTCTGTTGGAGCCCTTTTTTAATGTCGCGGTATTCTACAGCTGCAGCAATTACTGCCCCTGATCTTTGTGGATGTACGAGTATATGCATCAGCTCAATTTTTCTCTATGAAAAATCCAGGGCTTCCTTCACCACATCTGAACTTTACACGGTTCGCTTTGCACATTGGCCGAATACAAAAGCACAGTCCTTTCCGAGCATACGAAACAGTTCCAGCAAATGTTGGCTTTGGACTCGCATACGTCTCTCGATTGGTGTACATATATTTCCTTCATTCCGCTGACGAACCTCTAGCTCTAGATTATTATTTTTTCGAGGTATTCTCTAATGCCTTTGCCATAGGCCAAAAGCGCCAGTCGTTCAATCTTCCGAGCAAACTCTTTCAAAAGTCTTGCTACACTTTAGATAGTAGTTTTCCAGCTCCATGTGGAAGCTGCTCTTTACTGCAATGCCTTTTCATGGGTCACATTAATGCCTCGTAGTAACCACTCTCCTGTTCGTGAACTATTTGCAGGATTTCCACCGCAGGTCCAGTCAATGCTGGTATATAGCAGCAGTTTTGCCTTCCATGTCTTTTCGGTTTGTAAACCTCTTCTCTTTTTATGCTCGCGATGGAATTCGTATTGGTTCAAGTCAAACGACCACTTTTGGCAGCGGGGAAATTTCTCTCGCAACAAAGCCACATTCGCTCGTTTTGTGCTGCATGTGGTACCATCTTGTGGTGTTCTTCAATTACAGGCAAAAAAAGTTGATTATCATATGACCAATTCATATACCCAGCGAATGAGAAATGTGCCTCGTCGCTGGAGAAAATTTTATTCGAATAATCGCAGACCACTGCTCTCTTCAAATTTCTTTAAAATTTTTCCAATTGCTTGAGTATTTGGACGATTATGTGCACTATAACCTCTCTTATGGCGGCCTCGATAGCCAAGTGAGAATTACGGTCGCACTTCGGCTTGAAATGTCAGGCCCTGCTTTAAGTTTGATAGATGTTAAAAGAAAACTCTTTACTTTTGAAACCACGAAATATATTTAAGAGAGGCGTTCAAAAAATTGTTTGGCCTTGCTGTAGAAGGTCAGTATTCTTTTACGTATGTATATTCCTATGAGTATATGTATGAATATATTTGTCCATATTGTCAAACGGAAAATGGAGAAAACGAAGAGAATGATATGCAAACTTCCGGCTACACTGGCATACATAGTTATAAGTTTGTATTTGTGGCACGTGTCACTGCGTCCGAAACGATAGTGTTCCAAACATTACAAAGCTAGTAAGTCACACTGAAATGCAGAAAATGTGTCCGATTGCTGTAAAGTTATGATAACATAATTATTGTTAGTGTTGTTGCAGCCATTAGCCACCAACCAACCAGCCAGCCGACCAAAGCATTGGCTGCAAAGCTCAACAGAAAAATCATATGCATCATGGTTATGGATGGTTAGCAACAAAAAAAAAAAAAAATGCGAAAAAATGCTGACAAATTCAAACTCTATGGTGCAGCAGCATGCGTGGGATGCCAAAAGCATCAGACACGATAAAGTTTTTCGCTTAACATACTTTCTTTGCACCTCTGTTCGTTCCGATTGTATGTCAATTTAAATAGATGCTTTCTCCGGCATACCACGAGTACTTGCAATACTTGGACATAACTTTGGCATAGTTTGTAAAATGCCAAGTTGCAGAGTGCCAAGCACCAAAAAAGGGAGGGGCTTAAGAAAAGTTCGATAAGTTGACTAGATAAAAAAAAAACAAATATTCGCAATCTCTACAAAGTCGCCATTGATTTCAAAACATTTCTTAAGCCTATAAACACACTTCTGAAAACAGTTTTCAAAATCTTGCTTTTCAAGCTTATTAAGTTCTGCATTAACCGCATTAATTATCTCCTCGTTGCTATAAAAGACATTTCCTTTTAATTTTTTTTTTTGACTTTTGGAAAAAACCAGAAACCACAAGGTGCGATATCCGGGGAATATGGTGCTGGACGTATTTCTTCGTTTCCAGAGATTGCAAAAAAAATTACTCGTTATTTCAGCAGTGTAGGATGGCGCGTTGTCACAATGTAAAAAGTAGCGCCCCAAATGCCCTCTCTTCCTGCTTTTCAAAAAATTTTTGAAAACTTTTGGCACTCTTCGGTTCACCATTTTTCAGTTATCGCCTGACGCTTTTTCGGGTGAAGTAAACTGACAAAATTACTTTTGCTGCTGATTTTGTTGGCTTGATTATACTGGTGGGCTTGCTCCTGTTGGGCTCCATACTACGGACTGTTGTGTGGTTTCTGGATCGTACTTATAGAACCTAGATTCGTCGCAAGTAACGACTGTACCAAAGTTGCTAGACTGACTATTTTCGAATTTGTTTATTTATTTGATTTAGCGAAATGCACTCAAGCCTCCTTTTGGGCGTCATTTAAAATTCGTGGTGCGTCGAACAGATTCCTTCGTGTACCCCAGATGATTACTTAATATTCGCGATACAGCCATGGCATTTAATCCCAATTCATTAGCAATCATTT